TTTTACCTCTAATTCCCCCTATTGGGTCCCGCCTGTCTGCTTCCATGGGGGTTAGACACACCGTTTACACAAAATTGGTTCCACTTCACCCAAGGATGCTTCATACCAGATTTGGACAAAATCCTGTCGTTCGTACAGAAGAAGAAGGTTTTTGAAGAATTTGCTATGTTTCTCTAATGGGCCCCGCCTCTCAGCCCCCACTATTTATACAAAATTTGTCCCCCTTCACCCAAGAATGTTTCAGACCAAATATGGACTAAATCCTTTCATTCCTACAGAATGAGAAGGATTTTAAAGAATTTGCTATGTTTCTCCTTTTGGGCCCCGCCCCTCAGGCCCCTGGGGGCCAGACCCACGGTTTATACAAAATTGGTCCCCCTTCACCCAAGGATGATTCAGTCTAAATATGGAACAAATCCTTTCATTCCTACAGAAGAAGAAGGATTTTAAAGAATTTGCTATATTCCCCCTATTGGTCCCTGCCCCTCAGCCCCCACTATTTATACAAAATTTGTTCCACTTCCCCCAAGGATGCTTCTGACCAAATATGGAACAAATCCTTTCATTCCGACAGAAGAAGAATTTTAAAGAATTTGCTATATTTCCCCTATAGGGCCCCGCCCCTCAGTCCCCAGGGGGCCAGACCCACCATTCATACAAAATTTGTTCCCCTTCCCCCAACGATGCTTTTGACCAAATTTGGTCAAAATCTATTGGGCCATTCAGGACGAGTAGCGTTTTAAAGGAAAAGTTGTTGGACGGACAGACGGATGACGGACGACGGACGCTGCGCCATGGTATATGCTCAAAACCAAAATAGAACATGACTTTTGTAGTTTATTTTCAGGTGTTTCCTGAACTTCATTTTTTTTTTATTTCGATGAATTACATTACTAAGAGATAGTGGATTCTAAAAAAGAATGCAAGTCCTGTGCAAAAATCACTTGTCTTTTCTTTTGAAACAGTTTTTTATTTGCATTTTTCACATATGTATACAATATACAATACACATTAAAAGGACACAACTTTCACTCACACTACCTTACTTCTTGGAATGAATTGATTTTTAGCATTCTAATTCAATACATATTTCCTTAGTGAAATTGTGAGAAAATGTCGAAAATTTATCATCACACAAATAAATGTTTTATCAAAAGGATGTATAGAAAAATCTATTACAAACACAATAAAATAGTCTAATGACTTATATGCAGAGCTGCTATGAAAATATGTAACTTCAAATATCAAAATATATACAACCAATACATTATCTAGCTAACTGTTGTTAGTTTCAACTGCACAAATGTTGCTTGGGATTCATTTGAAATGAGTCATCTCTGTCAATTTCAAAACAGGATATTTGCTGAGGATCAGTTTTTTATCCTTATTTACATATATATATACTTCTACAACAATTATGAAACAAGTTTTTACTTATACTTATCACTCTTGTTGGCCCAGATGTTAACGTGTGAAGGGTATTAATTAATGTGGGAGGAAATCGGAGTACCTGGAGAAAACCACGTGGTTGGGCAGGTGACCTCATACCTTTTCACCTCCGATCGGGGAATTACTTTCATCTTTCTTTTAAAAATGACTTTCCAACAATTGTAAAAAAAATAATCAAAATCAATGATGTAAATTTTCAAAAATAACATCACTGAATGACTTTTTTTATGAATGGTTGCCAAGTACATGTATTAGCTAGATAAATGAAGACACAAACACAAAAAAATCACCTTAATATATACAGACAGAAAGCTCAAACCCTAAACATAACCTTCTTCGTTACGATGTTCTACTCCTTAAATTGGTATATTTTGTGTGGGTGAGAGTGACATTTAACATATAATTATTGAAATAAAATACAAAAACCGTTCTGGAAAACAAAAAAATAAAGTCAGTTGCATTTTTGTTGTAGAATGATTGAAATAAGTACCATTGCGATCTATCCAAGTCTAGTTATACATACTCCAAAAATATTCTCATGCATGTTCGTTAACTCATTCACCCCCGAAGACACGTTTGAACTCCTCCAATTCAAAGGTTGGTAGAGTTCATTATGAAATTTTAGGGGTGAATGAGTTGAACACCATATTTAATATAATTTTTGTGCCTCTGTTATAATATGAATCACATCTTTGTACAATTTTGTACCTCTCCCTCCATAATCGTTAAAAAGTAAAACATTACATAGGAACTCTAAAAAAATAAAATTGTGAAACCAAAAATAAAACGTTGAATGAGTCATTCCAATGATGAAATGCTGAGACAGTGCAACACGGAGACATCATCAAGAAGACACGCTGGAGGTGGATTGGACATGTGCTAAGGAAGGAAGGTGACTCCATCACAAAGGTTGCAGTACACTGGACTCCTGAAGGTAAACGGAAGAGAGGTCGCCCAAAAACCACATGGCAACGCACGGTGGAAACAGAGCTCAGCGACATGGATCACAGCTGGGGAACTATCGTGCGTTTAGCAAAAGATCGACAGGTGTGGAGGAACTTTGTTGCTGCCCTAAACGCCACCGGGCGTAATAGGCAGTAAGTAAGTAAGTAAGTATGTACACCCTAGGGGAAAACAACATTTCTAAATGGCATCTTTTGAGCTGTTCTTTCAGATAAAATCATAAGATGTTCTTTTCGATAACAGTAAACGCTACAACAGCTGAATCAAGATTTACCCCAAAATAACCCCTTCTTCAGCATGTTCTATTTCTACAGAAATCTAAAGAGTTTTGGTCAATATCCATGATGCTTAGGTACGGCACCTTTCCGTGAAGTGTACAAAGAAGTGTGATGTTCTATCATCCATTGGAATGTGAATTTCGGGATGCTCAATGGTTCCGTGGAAGTTAACGACAGACAATGGATACAACAAGACAATGCTGCATTTTATTTACTTCCCGGTTGGGTGAAGCCTTTGAAGTCTATCTTTCTAAAGAAAAAGGAGTTCGAAATCCAAAACGAAAAGAAAAGAAAATAACTCTCCAAATCAAATTTTACGAGCAGCACGTATGGTACCCAGTTGCCGGAAGTGATGTCATATATATATAAATAGATATGATGTAATGGGATTTCGCATTACCGAATTGACGTTAAAGATATGATGTAATGAGATTTCGCAATGTCGGAAGTGACGTCAGATTAATTAATAGATATGATGCAATGACATCTTTTTTTTTATTTAAACATATTTTATTGATATAATCAAATGGATTTGGCACAAGTTATAACAACTTATAGAAGCCCTCTCCTCGACTATAATAGTACAATGCTAGTGATAGCGACATATGCCAATCAATTTAATTGTATGAAAACAAGGAACATAGAAGAAAAAATAAATAAAAAGAGAGTTTTGAAAGACAGAAGAGATCATAGAGATGAATAGAGCATATTTCGAATGATACAAAAGGTTCATTCAAAGTATGAATATTTTTAAACTACTTAAACTTAAACTGCTGAATGGCACCCACTAGCTACACAATCTTTTCACATCAGCTGCTTGTTTGTCCAGATAATACACATCCCTTAGAATCCTTCCTCGAGTCATTCCTGTTCCTTCAAGGTAAAATATCAAAGTGTCATGCAGCGGAATTATTTCAATTTGAAAAAGAATACATATATATATATACAATTTGCTGAACCAGTAACACTATTAATATTCTATAGACCTACAAAGCAGAATGAGAGGTTTAAGAGAGAAGGAATTATGACAGATTAGATAAATATACCTGTTCACACAAAGTTTTGTTTAGAAACGGTCACTTGAATGAATAAAAGTCTGAACAATTTCGAAAATACGCTCATTTGGTTAGATTAAGGCTTTGTTTGTATTATTTCCTAAACGACTAAATTATGCAACTAAATTATGCTTCATAAGAGTCTGCTAAGTTACCTTAGGAAAACCTTAAAGTTTTCCCAAACTTATGCCAATTTCATAATTTGTAAATATTATGTATGGAATTGAATCTATTGCATATGCTCTCCGCCATTGTACAAGATATTTGTAAAGTATTTATCTATATGTATATTTCTGTACGCCTATATGCAATGTGCATTTGATAATAAATTGAATTGAATTGTCAACATTTGATAATTCAACATTTCCAGACAATAGTAACTCTTGGTACACAGGGTGATAGGGTATCAACTTATTTAACATTTCATGTCTGATGTTCCTGTACATTGGACATTGGAAAAATAATGGTATGAGTTTTCAAAGGCGGGGCCACAGGCACAAAAAGGAGATTCTACAAGGTTCACATGAAAGAGATCATAATTCAGTTGGCTACAATTGTGTCTAAGTTTAGTTAATAAGATATTAAGGCGACAGGGTCTGAAACACAGTGGCTTGTGATGTTCCAGAGTTATGGCAGTTTTGAATTTACTAACTGTAGTTTGATTTCTAGTGGTTTCTGATAAGTTATTCCAAATTTCTGTAGTTGCTGGTATTAATGATGATCTAGTATTGGAAAGAATATAGTTATGCATGGTAGAGTTATTGTTATTTCTAAGGGGATATGGAGTTCTATCACATACTTAACCTCGAAGTAATGTATAAAGATATGACAGTGTTAGTTATAGTACTACATCCCAGGTACCTACTTGCAATTGGTATCACCCTGGGCTTCCTTGTTATTCAGAAGAAGTTGTTGACACTGTTGCCTTGAAACTAGGTCAAGGTCATTTATTTGAGAAAATTTTATAGCACTTTATCCCTGGTACTGTTTGACTACTATCATCACTCAGGGCCTCCTGGTAATGCATATTTGACCCCTGCAACCTTAAAAGTGGATGAAGGTCCTTTATTTTAGGAAACTTTATAGCACTCCATCTCAGTTACCTACCGGCCTAATACCTTACGTCAGCATGTTCTTAAGTAGAAATTCAAAGAAAAACTTGACAGACAGTTGATAACAACAGACAACCCACTATTCCATAAACTCACAGGCACTTGGTGCAAGATGAGCTAGCAATGAAAACAAAATATACAACATGTTTATAAAATGTATTTATTAAAAGAAGTTTATTAAATCTTATAATGTCTATAAAAATAAAGGCTGTTAAATGGTGACAACATTCTTTTATCTTTCTAATCATTTTTTAAAAAACAAATCCAGCTTCTCTTAATTATATTTTACTGAGAATATAGAGTTTATCCATTAAGGAAATCACAATGCAGATATAATATTCCGTCTTTTCATATTACAGAGTTATCTGCTCTTGTGAGCAGGTATTGATTGTTACGTCATTTGTTTGTTTGTTTATTCAAAATTGAAAACTGGAAAAAATGCCTTTTTATTTACCTGATCATTGCTTCTTTGACAATTTCCATAAATAATAATATCTTGTGAAAATAGCTAGGAAGCAAATATTTCATAAATGCACTAGCAATTTTGAATGTATTTTTTGTTTTCTACGTAATTTTTTTCTCTCTTTGGTTTTAGTTTGATATTATTAATTGTGGAAAAAAAGGAATAATATATTCTATTTCAATTTAGTGGAAATGAATGCAAATTTACTACCTTAGAAATCAAGTGTGTCCTTTTTTTTAATCAAATTGTCTTAAGATTTTTGTTTTCAATGCAAATAAAAAATGTTAATGACGCATCAACATTATCTTTGACATCACTGTATATTATAGACTCTGCAGATAAATGGAGGGGAAAAAAGGGGAATGCATTAGTAATACAAAATAAAATGTAACTTAAAGAAAATTAGAGACAAAGTATAAATAAAATAGATAAAAGCAGACTTCTTAACCTCCTTTATAATGATAAACTTCCCTGTACAAACCACAGGTAACAATGATTTCTGTACCTCCTTCTTATAATGATAAACTTCCCTGTACAAACCACAGGTAACAATAATTTCTGTACCTCCTTTATAATGATAAACTTCCCTGTACAAACCACAGGTAACAATGATTTCTGTACCTCCTTCTTATAATGATAATCTTCCCTGTTCAAACCACAGGTAACAATGATTTCTGTACCTCCTTCTTATAATGATATTCTTCCCTGTTCAAACCACAGGTAACAATGATTTCTGTACCTCCTTCTTATATAGATAAACTTCCCTGTACAAACCACAGGTAACAATGATTTCTGTACCTCCTTCTTATAATGATAAACTTCCCTGTACAAACCATAGGTAACAATGATTTCTGTACCTCCTTCTTATAACGATAAACTTCCCTGTACAAACCACAGGTAACAATGATTTCTGTACCTCCTTCATAATGATAAACTTACCTGTACAAATCACAGGTAACAATGATAAACTTCCCTGTTCAAATCACAGGTACAATTAATCTTCCCTGTACAAATCACAAATAGTGTAAGATTTAATAGATTTCTTTTTTTTCTTTTTTAAGAATAAGGCTCTCTCTGTGCATATCATACATACTGCCAGGTACTAATCATAAGGTTTTCTTAAGCGACAATAATAATATTAACCAGAAAAAGATGCAAAAAGCGGGTGTTTATAATGGAATGTATAGCCTTATGCAGCAAGGAGAATTGAGTTTAGTGTAAGGCATGCATATCAACACATTTTCAACATGATTCAACAAACTCATTAACTCATCCACCCTGAAATTTCATAATGAACTGTTCTTACCTTTGGATTGGAAGAGTTCTAATGTGTCTTCAGGGGTAAATGAGTTAACATTTGTCAATAAAAACTTATTGGTCATATTAATTAACAACAACAATTGTATATGGTATGTAAATATTAGTCCATTTTGAAAAAAGAACGTTATACAATATTATACACATATTATATTATAGATATTTGAATTTTATTGATTTAAAAGCACTTGCATTGTAACAGGATAGAAAAATATAATGTCTGGTAATACAAATTTTACCATATTTGTTTAAAAAAATAAACAATACACATTAAAAGGACACAACTTTCACTCACACTACCTTACTTATTGGAATGAATTGATTTTTAGCATTCTAATTCAATCCCTCTTTCCTTAGTGAAATTGTGAGAAAATGTAGAAAATTTATCATCACACAAATAAATGTTTTATCAAAAGGATTTATAGAAAAATCAATAACAAACACAATAATGTCTAATGACTTATATGCAGAGCTGCTATGCAAATATGTAACTTCAAATATAAAAATATATACATCCATTTACATTATCTTCAAATATCAAAATATATACAACTAAATACATTATCTAGCTAACTGTTGTTAGTTTCAACTGCACAAATGTTGCTTGGGATTCATTTGAAATGAGTCATCTCTGTCAATTTCAAAACAGGATATTTGCTGAGAATCAGATTTTTATCCTTATTTACATATATATATAAACTTTTTACAACAATTATGAAACAAGTTTTTACTTATATTAATCACTCTTGTTGGCCCAGATGTTAGCGTGTGGGGGGGTCTTAATGTGGGAGGAAACCAGAGCACCCGAAGAAAACCACGTGGTTAGGCAGGTGACTCCATACCTTTTCACTTCCGATCGGGGAATTGTTTTTATCTTACTTTTAAAAATGACTTTCGGAGTTTCCAACATTTTTTTTTTTTTTCAAAATCAAAGATGTAAATTTTTAAAAAATAATATCACTGAATGACTTTTTTCAGGATGTTTGTCAAGTACATGTATAAGCTAGATAAATGAAGACAGAAACACAAAAAAATCACCTTAATATATACAGACATAGAAAGCTCAACCCCTAAACATAATCTTCTTTGTTACGATGTTCTACTCCTTAAGTTGGTATATTTTGTGTGGGTGAGAGTGACATTTAACATATAATTATTGAAATAAAATACAAAAACCATTCTGGAAAACAAAAAAATAAAGTCAGTTGCATTTTTGTTGTAGAATGATTGAAATAAGTACCATTGCGATCTATCCAAGTCTAGTTATACATACTCCAAAAATATTCTCATGCATGTACGTTAACTCATTCACCCCCGAAGACACATTTGAACTCCTCCAATTCAAAGGTTGGTAGAGTTCATTATGAAATTTCAGGGGTGAATGAGTTAATCACCATATTTAATATCATTTTTGTGCCTCCGTTATAATATGAATCACATCTTTGTTCAATTTTGTACTTCTCCCTCCATAATCGTTAAAAAGTAAAACATTACTTAGGAACTCTAAAAAAAAAATATTTGTGAAACCAAAAATAAAACGTTGAATGAGTCATTTCAATTTTTCAGCATTTTCTGATTGACAAGACGTCCATTGTTGAAGGTTTTCCCCATGAGACCAAGTCGAGACAGCATCTCCATTTTTTCTTGTTTGCTCATCTGTGTCCTGTTGCTGATATTGTCAACCGTCTGGTTACCAGTTTCAGCTCCCTTGATAGGCATATTGAAGCAGCCAAGAGGTACTTCTACAACCTTGATAGATATCAGTCTTGCTTCAAGCGACACACAGCCAGAAAACTTTTTGTTGGCCGTGTCAACCTTCAGGTTGCTGAACATGATGCAGATGCTGGCCTCTTTCTCTAGTTCAGGGATTCCAATGCAGACAGGAGGAGGGTTTGTTACTGAAAATATAAAAAAGATTTATTACAGATATAGCAGGATGCAGGTAGTTGACATCTCGTGGTCTCTTTTCTTAGAAAGCACCAACTTTCATTAAATTGGTCAGCGGGTGACAATTATAAAATGTTGTGTCTAAATTCGAAATTGTTACAAAACGTCCATCGGTTGTTTGATGCTATTATTATTATTATTATTATTATTATTTGCTATTTGTAAGACATCACTAAACATAAACATGGGGCTGAGAATCAAGCTATTAAATCATACTTGCCAACCTTTTTCGAAATTTCCATGGGGGAGATTATGTGTGCTCATAATTAAAAGAATAAACAAAATATGTGTGTGTGTACACCCTACACACATATTTTATTCATTCTTTTAATTAATTATGAGCACACATAATCTCCCCCATGGAAATTTCGAAAAAGGTTGGCAAGTATGATTTAATAGCTTGATTCTCAGCCCCATGTGTATGTTCACCCTCTGAGAAAAACTTTGAAGATTTTCTGGCCAAGAGTAATCTCCAATGATGAACTGCTGAGACAGTGCAACACTGAGAGTATGAGAGACATCATCAAGAAGAGATGCTGGAGGTGGATTAGACATGTGCTAGGAAAGGAAGGTGACTCCATCGCAAAGGTTGCAGTACACTGGATTCCTGAAGGTAAACGGAAGATAGGTCGCCCAAAAACCACATAGTGGCACACGGTGGAAACAGAGCTCAGTGACATGGATCACAGCTTGGGAACTATCGAGCGTTTAGCAAAAGATCGACAGGTGTGGAGGAATTTTGTTGCTGCCCTAAATGCCACCGGGCGTAATAGGCAGTAAGTAAGTAAGTAAGTATGTACACCCTAGGGGAAAAACAACATTTTTAATGGCATCTTTTGAGCTGTTCTTTCAGATAAAATCATAAGATGTTAGAATGTAAGACAAGTTTAGAAAATTCACTGTTTGAAAATGCTTAACTTCAGGGTCCAAAATCGGGAGAGTTGGCAGGTATGTTAAACCTTCCAAAAAGACCACAACCTTTACTATTTTTATTTTTTTTACATTAAGGATACCTGTACCACTGTCAAAAACTGTATCTAAGTATTGAAAACTGTTTTTTTTTGGCATGACTATAGATAGCTTTGATAAATCATTTCTGAGAAGAAAACCAGACCTTGCAGCATTTTTGTGAGAAATAATGAAGATGAAATAAACACCTATTGAGCTATCTAGTCAACAGAAGTGTCCTGGCCAAACTGTGCTACAGTTACATCCAAACTAATGTTAAGGGGAGGTTACTCTACAGTGTCTATAGGAAAACTCACAGTGCAGTGGGACAGGGATCCTTACGAGAATATACTACATTACAGGTTGTCAGAGTCCCTTCAAGGGTGGTTCCTGCTGTTGTATATATATATGTCGTTTCTTTTTATAACTTGGTGCTGTAGTATTGTATGCAATTTCTACTTATGCTAAAAAAAAAATACATATCTTATTCTACTCAATTGTAGCATTTCCAAATCGAAATAAAGGGTGAACTTCGCAAAAGGCAAATATGGAACTAACTAGTGAAGGCAAAATATTTTAGTCTGTGAATGTTTTTGGTATATACCTACAGTAGTTTTCACTCCTTTAACCCTTTCACCCCTGTGTTACCTTAGTAGACTCTACCATGCATCGATATGGATGAGTCCATTATGGTCTAAGTATTTTATGACAACTTTTAATATCTAAGTTTTTCCAGTTGCAGGGGTCATACCTATGTCCATCTTTGAAATCCAACAGTTCAGCTCTCGATTCACATATTATCTTTGCATCCTTCAAATATGTCATGACAAAAATTAAGCTCTATATGTGCTCTACCTTGTGAATGATACATGTGGACTAATATGATCCTTTGATGTGCATAAAAAGGAATAGGGCTTATAAGTCAAGTGTCACCTCTGTGTAATATTTAAAGAGTATAAGCCTTGTAATATTTTTAAATACCTGAAACCAACTGAAGAATTGGGCTTAGAAGTCGAGTGTCAACCTCTGTTATCTTAAATGGACTGATATCAGCCTTGTGATGGTCATTTTTTTTTTTTTTTACCTGAAACCAATCAAATAGCTACTGTGTTCTTCAATTTTTTACGTATTCTAATTAGAGAAGATACCGAGAGTGAAACTGTTGGATTTTGGAGATGATTTGTGCCCATCAGAGCGGAACTGTTGGATTTTGGAGATGATTTGTGACCATCAGAGCGGAACTGTTGGATTTTGGAGATGATTTGTGCCCATCAGAGTGGAAAGCAAAGTTCAAATACTATCAAACAATCTAGATCTCATGACTGAATGAAGTAAATGTCCTTACTATGTACACGGTAAGTCATCTCGAGTTATGACAATGATAATGATTGTGATAATGCTAGATCCATGTCCATGTGTGTATGTGTGAGAATGCGTGAATGTCCTGTTCATGTATATATGTCTATGTAATGAAAAACTTGTAAAATAAAACCATTACAAAAAAAAAAAAAAGTCATCTCAAGTTCCATTTTTCGTAAATGTCTACAACATACCGGATATTTGCATGTCAATTAATGTCTTCCCATCAACTGTCAGTTTGAACTCTACACCAATGTCTTTTGGGAGATAAGCAACAGCTACACAAACTAAAAGAAAAAGAAGATATTATATACAAAAATTAATGTCAATTAAAAATATGTATAGAACTTCTTCGATTACCTGTTTAGTTTCATCTTAAATTTCTAACAATTAGAAAATTATATTCAAAACTGATGTCAATTGATATTTATCTGGAAGTTGTTCAAATATATCGGTTTTCTTTCCATCTTTAATTTCTGCCAAAAATTGTCTTAATTCTTCACTTCATAAAGAAAGTAATAGCCAATTTTGAGCTTTGTTCAAAAGGTATGGCCTCTATTCATTTATAACTGACTGTAAAATTAAATAATTCTATGAACGAATTTACAAACTGAGCAAACATACCAATGGAAAACAAAAGCCAACTGATTGCTAAAATAATCCAACTGATCAATACTGGAAGAACTTTGTTCATCAAAACAGAACATATGGTCCCTTTCACCATCAGGTTTTTACTAGCTCAAATTATTCTGACGTTTTATCGACTTTTTTTTTATATATCAGTCTGGCGTTAATCGCCACCAGACCGATATAAAAAAGTCGATAAAACGTCAGAATAATTCGGACCAGGTTTTCACCAACAAGTCTACAGGACTTTCAATACAAAATATGAATTTATCCATTTCTGCCCAGAAGTTATCTCCCTGCAGATCTGTTGTATACCTGTGCTATCCAGCTTGATCTCATCTATTTCCAGGTGTACGCAGCAGGAACATTTGTATTCAGCACAGTCACAGGTTCCACTGCTCCTCTTGAACTTCGAACCTTTAAATAGTTCTTTCCCCAGACCTACATTAAAATAAAAAGTTTGAAACAGAAATAAGTCATCTTTGACAAAGCTATAAATGTAGCCCTCGAATCAAGAGACCCTCTGGGCCTGCATCACACACTTGCTATTAAATATTATTTCGAAACAAGAGACCCTCTGGGCCTGTATCACACACTTGCTATTTAATATTATTTCGAAACAAGAGAACCTCTGGGCCTGTATCACACACTTGCTATTAAATATTATTTCGAAACAAGAGACCCTCTGGGCCTGTATCACACACTTGCTATTCAATATTATTTCTAAACAAGAGGCCCTCTGGGCCTATATCACACACTTGATAATAAATATTATTTCGAAACAAGAGAACCTCTGGGCCTGTATCACACACTTGATAATAAATATTATTTCGAAACAAGAGACCCTTTGGGCCTGTATCACACACTTGCTATTTAATATTATTTCGAAACAAGAGACCCTCTGGGCCTGTATCACTCACTTGCTATTAAATATTATTTCTAAACAAGAGACCCTCTGGGCCTGTATCACACACTTGCTATTTAATATTATTTGCTGTACAGGGGAACAGGTAGTTGTAAATGTCAGTAGAAAAAATATTTATAGCAATCAAGCTAACAATAATGACAAAAATTAAATTATTATCTTTGGTTGGGTACAGCTAAGGTAATTTAAGGACGTGTCTCCATGTGTGTTGTGTATGTGTGCTAGAGGCAGGGTATCTTGTGGGAAGATTTGTGGTCAAGATAATATCAGACATTCCAGCAGTTACATGTCAAATATCATATCTCTGGACCTCACAGCTCTTTAAAAGTTATTGAACCCTTTCATTACATAATGGACTTATCCTTATAAGTGCATGGAAAAGTCTACTAAAGTTGTCTAGGGGTGAAACATCATGACTGAAAGCTTTTCTAGTTCATATATCAGCAACTCTAACCGCACAAACTTTAAATCACTTTTTTTGACCACACAACAAATATGAATTAAATTGCAATTTACCATAAACCTGTAATCAACCTTTTTCCTTATATTTTATACATTTATATATTTACTCATCTTTCTTCCCTCCCATTATGCACAATCTCCAATAACATAATCTCCAACTTGTGAAGGCAGTTATCATAAAGTAGAAGTAGAAATCGTACATTTAAGGATTTTTGATGTGAATGCAACTGCTTAATCATTTACATGACCTCTATATGCACCTGATCTTACCTTTGAGGATGGGCCTCAGCTTCACGTCTACATCCTTTAGGTTGACATGGAGATCAGATGTACTATCCTGAAGAATCCAGGCAAGATGTTGAAGATCTGTCGGCAATTTCTTTTCAACCTCTGGAAATAATGTATAAAATCCACCATGATATTAGTAGGAAGTAACAAAAGGTAAGATTAGAAGCAGTTGCTTGATAATTAATTATTTCTAATTTCCTGGTCAACTCTCACAAATATAGTCTATAATATGATACTGATGACAGATCTTTATTCTTTTGCATGGTGGATATATTTTATCACAACTACTCCTGTGTTTCAGCTGTGATTATATATCCTGTTGTCATATTTTTCTCATAAATGCCGTGTAATACATTGTAAAACCTTTCTATTGTGATCATGACCTCGTAATAAACACAACTGGGAATAGACCTTTGCCTTAACTCGAAGTTGTGATTCATGGTTCTAAACAGAATTTTAAGCTGGCTACGTAACCTAGCTTAGCAAAGTTAGCATACCGATGGTCTTGGAGTTTGTGTATTTTGTGAAACTGTAAATGCACGTTAGAATGCATACCATGATGAGATTTTCTACCTGGCATGCTGGTAGGCCTTCGTCAAGCCAAAACATATTTCTATTATGTTGCTTTTTGTTTTTTTGTGTTTTTGTTTTTTAAATACATGTATTTGCTTAATAGCTACACTTAGGTTAGAAGTCAATTATTTTTATTCCTTATCCCTTATTAAGGCTAGAAATAATGGAACAGCTCCTCAGTACCTACAGGAACTTGTTACCCTGTATCAGCCGTCAAGATCACTGCGGTCAGAGTCAGAATCTTTGTTGTGTGTCCCAAAATCTTGTACTGTGACCTACGGAAACAGATGCTTTGGGAGGGTTTCGGCTACGTTGTGGAATAGCTTACCATCTGCTATTAGGAAGTCGAATACCCTGGCCAAGTTCAAGAGGGACATAAAAACTCACCTCTTCACGTCTGCATTTTAGAATCTTTGCAAAGACGTCATGTAAATACCACCCTTTTATTTGTTCAATTATGTGCACATTGCTTGTTAAATGTATGAAAGTGATTGCAAGCCTTTGTTGTTTGTTTTCACAATTATAACCATTACTATTATCCATATGTTGTAAAGCGCCTTAGAGTAATTTTACAAATTATATAGGGTGCTATATAAATGCTGTATATTATTATTATTAAGCCTTGCCCCCTACATAGAAATATGTTGCATCTCCTTGGCCTTGTGTAGTACAAGTTTCCTCTGGTCCTGACACCAGGCTAGACATCTATCTGCCAAAATGTCAAGTCTGTTGTCAGGGACAGAGGAAACTTGGGCTAGGCACTGATGCTTCAGACTAAAATTGGTTAAAATCTCTTCACCTGTGCTCATGGTGAAATCTGTGAAATATTTATCTGTTTCTCCAATTGGGCCCAACTTCTGCGCCCCAAGAGGGATCTACAGCTTTCAATTGTACAGTAGCAGAGCAGGACTAGGTCAATTGTCTGCGACCAGGAAGTTCAATTGGGAGAGCCTCCTTCTAGAGTCGGAAGGTCCCAAGTTCGAACCCTGGTCTGGCTGTTTGCACTTCTCTTTCTCCTGTTACAAAACTGGCAAGCTTGCCAACCCTTGTTTCAAGCACTGGGTGAATGCTAATAATTAATAAGCAAGGGGATATCTGAACATGAGATGTAAATAGTTGTCTTTGGGGGGCGAAGACTCAGAAAAATGAGGGAAAAATGTAGCGGAACAGGACTGGGTCGATTGTCCTTTATCACCAGGTAGCTCAATTGTTAGAGCGTAGGTCTATTAGAGTTAAAAGGGTCCCAGGTTTGAACCTTGACCAGCTGGCCGTCGCATTTCTCTTTCTCATGTTACAGTACAATAGTTAATGTTTAGGCCCTGTGATATTTCTAACCAAATTGGTTCAAATTCCTTTACACTTAAGAGCAGGGTTGGGCATTACTGAACACTTTAGGGAAAAACCTTTTAACAGCAAAACAGTGTGTATTTAAGCACCCAGACGTGTATGGTAACAAATCTTAACCAGAAGGCGTTACTTCTCCCAATATTTGGTTTGAATTGGAGGGCGATTTAACATCATTATAAGGTGCTTTACATTACTGTACATGGAGGTAATTACTTAACAAGTCGGTGATTGATAAATTGTGATAAGTAATTGCCTCCGGTTCAGTAATGCCGGACCCCGCTCTAGATCGACAGAATAAAGGAATAGTAATTTATGTGCCTGTGGAGGACCACATCCTTCGTTAATACACCAACTAGCCCAGACATCTGGATCTGTACAATGTAGGGCATTCTCAGGTATAAACACATCAGGGGAGGCAGTGCTACAGGCACTTAGTTGTGAAGTTGCAGGGCTAACTTAAAACCCTTGAGTGACTCAGCACGCACAACGTTGTCTGGAAGCTGATTCCAGCCGATGGTCGTTTTGGGAAAGAATGAGATTTTATAGACAGGTGAACACCCCCCCCCTGTTTTTTGTGACACAGTCTTTAAACTGTTTGGCTCTAATGCTCCGTTTCCCTCAAATTGGTGTTAAATAGTCCTGACAGTGCATGGCTGGCACCAGCCCCTCGACCACTTTATAATAGAATGCAAGTCGATTCTGCCTCCTTCTCTCTTGGAGTGGGGGCAGGCTTATAGGTCCTGGAGCATCTGGGTGACACAACCTGATTTCCGGGAGGTGTAATCTCTTGTGATGAAACGAGCCACCTGGCGTTGGATGCGCTCTAGCCGGTCGATGTCTTTGCTACCAGACCACAAAGCTATATTCTACAGTTGATTAAACTAGGGCAAGGAATGCTGCATTTAGACATGAAGCTGGGCAATGTTTCAGGTTCCACTGCAGAAACCCCAGAGTGGAGTTTAAGCAGCTTGCATGATACACAGGTGAGAGAGACCGGTCTGTAGTTCACTGCCTGATGACTGTCTCCTATCTTAAGAACAGGTGTTACATTAGCATGTAGCCAGTCAGCTGGTAGTTTGCCACTGTCGATCGAGCATGGGAAGATGCGTTGAAGTGCAGGAGGCAGTTGGATTTCTTTGGTGAGCCTGGTGCACATGACATCCATGTATATACCTGTCCAGTTGGCTAATTTGAAATCTAGAAGAGAAATAATTTTGCGGTTTCTGGTGGATAACCTGCGGGATGATGTTAATGTCTGTCACTATCATGGCATGGTCACTTGTTCCAATGATGGGTGGTTGGTGAACACGAGGTCCAGGATGTTTTTATCCCTTGTGGGCTGGGTGTGGATTTGGGTAAGTCCATGATCTACTGACAGGTCGATAAGGGCCTGCTGGACTTCTCATTTGCTGCTCCTTTCCGTACACACATATTCTCCCAGTCAAATGTCTGGGCAGATAAAGTCTCCAGCGATTAAGGACTTCCCACCCTTTGTAATACACATGTTTTTCTTGTCGTATTTTCGTGTCGTCATTTCCGTATTGCGTATCGGGCATTCGATTACCGTAGTGTAAATTATAGTAACACCGGGTAAACAATAGTACATGTGCGGGACGATGATATGTCAACACCCGATATCGAGACTTAACTTGGAAATGTGTAATCACACATACTTCAGTTATAAAGCTTATGGTACAAAGACATTAATTAACTCACGGGAAAACACTGACATACGATTTCAAGAAGGTCGTATATGAGGTGCATGGAATGCAGACTGATGTGTTTTGTTTACCGACCTCACCTATAGGTATCAGGTGCTAACAGTAGTTCACAAGCTCTTGGTCGCTACGACTTTTGTTGTCGAGCGAGTTACGCTCTGTCAGATAAATCGGTTCACAAATGCAATTACAATAACTTTGTGAAAATAGTGGTTTGTAAAATATCAAGATCCCTATAAAATGCACGTGCATGTGTGTGCACGTAATAACGGCATACCATGCGATAGCCTATTGTTACATATGTACCTGACATGTTAATATACCATGCGTAAGCAGGGTATGGAATGATGTCCAAAGTGTACATGATTGAGAATAATTTTGTTTCATAAAAGAACAGTAAATTGACAATTAAATATAGTAATTTAATTTATTTCCGTCGTTTTTGGTATAGTAAAGAAAATAAGTGTCATTGTATAAATTCCATCCCTCTGCAAAAAGTTCCATTTTTTTTCAAGGTAGACAGCTCTCATCAGGATCAAAATTATTGTAAAATGTAAAATAAATTAATTATAAAGACTTTGTGTGTATTTGTGGTTCAATTTTTCACTCTTTTTGTATGAAACTATGGGTCCTGTTTGCTTTTAGCTTGTATTTTGTAACTTTTATCCATACAATTTCAATAAAAAACGCTTTTTGTAACATGTTGTAGATATTTTATGATAAATAAAATATTTGTAGGGTTGATAAGCAAATTTAATGTTCCTTTTCATTATTTTATTGTTGTAATAGTTTTGAACAATGCCACACGCTCAAAAAATGTGGAAGTGCTGAATTTGACAAACATTCAATTTTTCGGTATTTTTTACAAAAAAATCCCCAGTTTATCGGAATGCTTAGATTTTCAAAAAATCATCTCAACATAGTGACATAATCATTATGTGAAACTTTCATTGAATTCTGCTGGTTAATTGCCAAAGGGTGGAGCCTCCTTAACACGTGCTTGTCTTTTGTTGAATTTAAGGCGTGAGATAGTGAGTCACTTAGCATGACGTTAATATCATGGATGTTTAGGTGTGGTATATACAATTATGACAAGTAGATAGAGGTCTTTCTTATTCTGCATCCTCTGATATTGATCTGTCAAAATGTCTAAGCCTGGTGTCAGGGTCATACTAAATTTGTGCTATATATATACAACAGTGTATTCCCTTAGCCCAGTGTTGTTTCAGCCAAATTTTTTTTCAAAGACTTTAACCTGACTACTGAAGAATTAATTGGTATTCTAAAACATTTCTCTATTTTTTTTTATATAACTATATATATTAATATTAAGTATATTTGGCCCCAGCCATCTACCACAAAAGAGATGGGGACATTATTTAAAACGAAATAGAGTACCCTTGGGTAAGAAAATCCTTAAGACTAAATTTGGTTGAATTCTGATAAGCTATTCAAGAGGAATAGACTGATCTTAATAAAATAGGAAGTTGTAGGACCGATGTCCGAGTCAGATCATGATCCTTAAAATAATCCTTACCTTTGAGGGTAGACTTGAGGTTACTCAGATCTTCCGCCTTAGCATGAATGTGCAGATCCGACGCGATATCAGGAAGTTTCAATTTGAGATGCTCGAGATCTGACGCCACTTTCTCTTTGATTTCTGGTTCCACATCACGAAGTAAAGACTTGAAATGGAGAGAATGACTCTGGCAGGCTCCAATCGCCAAAACAATGATTAAAAGAGTCTGAGTTGATTCCATTGCTGCTAATGTCACCTGCTTTCTGAAAAACCGTAAAGTCTTCCTGGTTGCTTATAATAGGCCTACCTGACGCACCTGACGTAATGTTGTGGTATTTCCATTCTTCTCATATTCGGGACACTTCTGAGAGAAGACTTCTTATAAAAGTCTAGAGGATTACCATGAAAATCACGTGACTGGACAAGATGGCAGACACAGCGATTTTTCAAGCATGGCTACTTTCATTTTGTTATTTCACTACAGTCATGACTTTGAAAATGCCATACGAGTTCATAGCAGATGAAACAAGTAATTATGTTCTACCTAAACTTCCTTACGATTATAAAGATTTGGAGCCATTCATTGACGAGGCCACAGTGCGGGTACACCATCTTGGCCACCATGCCGCATACACCACAAAAATGAACATTGCGCTAGAACAGTGGACAACCGACAGTGAGGTAAATAATTTAAACTGAAGTATTACACACCTGTATTGTCAAAGGCAGGTGGCGTTATCATGACAAAGCCATGATGCAAAAGGATCTTCTGAGGTAGAGCGTCTACAAGAAGAGCAAAAGATTTAATGTGTCCCAAGTAATTCAATATCACACGTGAAATGTCGGTACATATGTGATATTCAATACTAACAGTTCTAGAATACAGAGAGATAAAGACTGTATAGTGTATCCCAAACATCAAATTAAGGCAGATACCCGTCAAGATTGGAGGCTTCAAAATTCTAATCTAATTCTGTGTTTTTTGCAATAACAGCTAGGTATATAGCCACCAAATATTTGAAGCCAGTGATTATAGTTTAAGCAAATGATGCTAGACTTCCTTGATATTGAAGGAAAATGGGTAAATTTGCACATTGTGCCACATTTACAGATGCCATCAAAGAAAGGGGAAACCCAAATAATGTTAAAGAGTAATGGCTTTTACTTCTCTTGGAGATAACTGTTATATTTTTCCTTCACTTTTGAGCCAAATACTGCTATATAGAGAATAAAACATGCCTTTTTCCATATCACACCTAGTACCAACCCGAGACTGCAATATCAGCACATAGGGCCGAAGGCCCGAGGGCTGATATTGGTTGAGGGTTGATACTGGGTGTGATATGAAAAAAGGCATGTTTTATTCTGATTATTACATACTTACTAATAAAAGATACTATCTTATAATCTGTTTTTCTTTTGAAATATTGAAAAACAAAAAAAATCCAAAAGAGATGCGATACAGGTTTTGGGGTGTGATACAGGTTTTGTGGGCTGATGCAGGTTTTTGGGTGTGATATGGCGAGGGCTGATATTGGTAAAAGCAATTGTGTCGTATCGCATATACAAAAAAAACGTATTTATTAGTAAGTATGTAATTAATCATGTTATGCAAGAACATATACAGTGATATTGTGATGAGCGTGTTACAGTCCTCAACCTGATAATCATGATGGATATCATAATCCTATACTGGACAGTCAATTAACCTATCACAACACATCTACATGTACCTTTTATGATGTACTTGTGTTGTTACTAATTTCATTTTGACATTTGAAATTCATCAGTACTTTACAATAACCCGATTGAAATTTGTTTCAGGTTAAAGAATCAGTATCTTTAGCCCAGAAACCAATACTGGACATTCTGATTGGACTTGATGATGTACCAGAAAAATACAAAAGTAGTATACAAAACAACGGTGGGGGGTAATTATTGTTTTATAATTGACCATGATTTGTCAACATCTGTCAGATAAAGAAATTGGAAAAATGTGAAATTGCATGAATGTGCATCCACTCATGCAGTTAATGGATTTACTGTTTGTATATATTCCTCAGTACATTATGCTTCAGTTTTATTTGATTTCTTATAAGGACGTGGTTCTGCTTACAGCATACATTGAAGATGACTCGAAAAAAATCTGTGAGGAAAGAATTATAGTGGTAATTATAGGCAAACTAGCAGCTAGCTGAAACAACAGGCATTATAATTATATCACAGAAATTAGTCTAATAGAATTATCCTTATTGTGAAGAATAATTAAAAAAAAAAGTTTCAAAAGAATATTTTATTTCCAGTTATGTGAATCATAACTTCTACTGGTCTGTGATGTCACCAAATCCAAATTCAGATGACAGAGAGCCAATCAATCAACTGGGAGACGACATTGTTCAGGAATTCAGAAATTTCTCCAACTTCAAAGCAATGTTTACCAAGGAAGCCCTCTCACTATTTGGATCAGGTTATTATGATGATTTTATGCATGCATCGATGGGTATGGCAAAAACAAAATTTATTATATAATTGTCAGCCTGGTAAAACGCTAGCAGCTTCCTAACCAGAATGTCTCTTTAGCTCATTTGAAAAAGCACAAGGTCAAGTACACCAGAAGTTCTGAGTCTGTACACTGAACATGGGTGCCATTTTGACAGGGGTCATTATTTTTCAATGCCTCTGCTAGGTTTTGTACCCAGGACCTCTTGTTTACTAGTCTTGTGCCTACCAAATGAGCCAAGAGAAATTCTCCTCGGCCAATCACCACAGTGGTAACCAGAAAGCTAAAATGCTTCTTTTTTGGAATATTTAAGTCCCTGATTCATATCCCAGTCTAGCTGTTGCATTTGTTCTCTCCTGTTAGATAAAATGTTCTCATATTCAAAGTACCTTAATTATTACTTCATGGATGCTATTCAAATATACTTCCCAAGGGTATATTTAGTTGTAAAGAAATTTAGAAACTTTCAGAAAATGACCAAATGACTAAAACCAAGTTTCATTCATGCTTATGATCATTTTCAGAGCCATCTCATTGGTCAGTGATCAATCTGAACTTTCAAATTTCAGGTTATGTGTGGTTGAGTCGAGATCCAAATGAAAATGGAAAACTTGTCATTTCAAAAACAACCAACCAAGACTCGCCTCTTACAGATGGATTTCAGCCAATCCTTGTTATTGATGTATGGGAGCACGCTTATTATCTAAAACACCAGAATCTCCGACCAAAGTATGTTTCTGACTGGTGGAACCTTGTTGACTGGTCAGCTGTGGAAGAACTTGACAATTGGTGGAAAGGACCAAACTATGGTTTTCATGATGAATTTTAACTTATTATCTAACCTAACTAGCCATGATTTCTTCATTTAAAGAAAGTGGGACCAGATTTCTTTTCATATCTCTTCATCCAGATGCATATTCTTGTTCATCTCATTATTTAAAGGTTTCAGGGCCCTATGCTTCCTTCGTTAAATGCCTGAAAAAATATTTTGAAATAAACAATTAACATTGTTATCACATATTTGGTCTCAATAGGAACTTTATCCTTTAAGTGTGTTTTATTCAACAGCAAAAAAAAAATCAGATTCTTTGACAATTATTGGTGGTGAATCTGGATTTTTCTGGGCTTCAGAAAACCCCCGTTCTGTGAATTCTTTCATTAATTTTTGTGCCATCTAGCAACTGCTGCCGGATTTCAAACCACCCTTGATTTTTCCCCCCCAGGTCTACCACCAAGATTTAATTGCATAAATTTGGAGCCTCATACTGGGTGGGAACTTTTAACATCACACTCAACAATATAATTTGTTTGATTAATAGGAATTGTATGTATGTGGGTGTATGTGGTGTTTATGTATTTATGTAATAAAAATGTCTTTAAAAATAAACAAATTATATAAAAAAAATAAAATGTTTGATTATTTTTTATTCTCGAAATTTATGACAAGAATCGCAGAACACACACACATCCATTCATGAACGATATAATTTCCTTATATAATATACTATAAATGTAGTATTTAAGTGTTAATGTATTCATTACTGGTCTAGAACATGTAGCATGACCCATCGTACAAGTAATAAAGCTGTGTCATTAAACTGTATCAACTGCCGTAACTGAAGATTGTACCGTTCATGATTGAATAGAACCAATTACTATCATGATCTGACATGTCTGATATCCTACCGACATCTCTTTGACATCATTTGATTATAGAATTTTTGTTGTTACCTTAGTAATGTACTACATAATTACTTGAAGAATATTTGTCTTTGAAAAATCGTCTTGTACATCAAAAGTCATCTTTCAAATACATCTCAAATGTATTGTACACATGGAAAACAACTAAAAATGATTTCTTCTGAAGCAATCAAATAAAATGTTCCAATAAATCTGTTATACATTTGCCAATGTATGTGTTATTACTGTGGTAGAGATAACAGTGTCTGTTGGCCAGAAGGTAAATAGGTCACATTCCGCGACTGGGACATCTGGTAGGCAATCTCCTCAGCAGCCTCCAGTTTACGTAATTCAATCAGACCTTCGCCTGAGGATTTGAAAGCCTTAGCTAATAGGGAAGCACCTTCGGAGTCACCCTCAGCCTGAATGACCGCTGCCTCTCTGTTCATCTCGGCCTAAAAAAAAGACGTGGCTCAGATTTATGATCATAGTACCAACTTATTTATTTCGACAGAAAGTTTTGACAGAAATGAATATGATCAGAAGTTTTAAGATGCTGTTATAAGACCAAGTCCAATTTTGTTTATCATTATCCTAACGGTTGGACCAGAGTTGTTTATTTATTATGTTGGGATTAGCAATTTCAGAAATCAAATAACATTTCCCCCTAAAATATGGAGGGTGGTGCTAAAATGATCGGTCTTTTCCAACCTATGAGTCAATGCTAAATTTGGCAAAAAGTTTAGGGTCTACTGAAAGCCCTACAGATTTGTCTATATATGATGTTGTGGTAGACCTAGTGATCTGTTTGCTGGGAAATTCTGGCAGATGTCTTTGGTGTGCTTTAAGTTTTGTATGTCCACCAGATACTACCCCTGAAAATGTTGCATTTAAATGTTGTCCCATATAACTGAGAAATCTAATAAATTTATTTATGAACAACATAAAGGAAATAGAATTCTGATGTCAAAGTGACGAAATCGGGTATTAAAGAGAGTAGGGAGTAATCAGTATTGCATACACTTATATTGGCGATATGAAATGGAATTGGTTTTACCTTTTCTACTAAATATCTTGATCTTTCGGCATCCTGCTGGGCAACTTGTTTCATTTCTACAGCAAGTGTAAACTCTCGACCAAATGTGAGATGAGTCTAAAGGCAAAATAAAAACCAATATATATCATATAAACATGAAAACTGTCCAAAAATGATTTTTGTAAACTACAAGTCCATTCAATATTACTTGTATTGACTTGTAGACAAAAAAATACTGACTATTAGCAAAGTGTTGCTGTAAGTACTCTCTAATCTAACTAACATTAAAGATCATCAAAATCCAAAATTGGTTAAAGTTCAAATGAAATATTGGAACACATTGAGGCTTTAACTTACAATGCAGAATTTCAAAATAAATTGAGCATCAACCCTTTCACCACTGTAGACCATTATGGACTCATCTAGGTTAGTGCATGGTCGAGTTCACTCAAGTTACATAGGGGTGAAAGGGTTAATCAAAGAAAGGAACTAGAACTTCTGATTTACACAGTGATTTGAATTTTAGACTTGCAGGTGTATGACACATTCTCAAGATTCTGTACCATCAGGTTCTTTATTATAAAAGACAGTACTTGACAAGTACATTTTTTGAGGGTAGAAAACCCTCATGGAGTTTTTCTGAGAACACTTGACAGAAATATGTGATGTTATACATTTTATGCTGTCCATGTTCTTAATACGCTCCACCCCAATCAATAGACATCACCTGTTGTTGCAATAGGTCATTACCACAAATGAGAGAGAGAGAGAGAGAGAGAGAGAGAGAAGAGAGAGAGAGAGAAGAGAGAGAGAGGTGTTCACTGGAGCATACTGCATGGGGTGGAGAGTACCAAGTACAAATGGGCCTCAAGAACAAATGTCATGGAGATCATCGTACCAGTGAAATGTCGTCGAGGACTACACCAAACTGATGGGCTCTCTCCGTTAGCTCTTCTCTGACCTTTGTCGATACAACTTCTCTCTGGGTGATCATTTCACTGGCATCAAACTGCGCCTACAACATTAAATGGAACTGGTTGATAATCATTTCAATGGCATCCACCTGGGCTAACAACACTTTGTACACAGTTATAACTTTTCATGGGCATCACCCTGGATCTACAACACTTCATACAAATAGTTGAACTCTCGCCCTCTATACAGAGATAGCAAAGTTTTAGTTATTTCCCCCCTACATGGATACTGGTGACTGCTAAGAGCAAAGATACATATCACAAACTGCTTTTCATTTTATCTTTGTTTATTCCACATACGCACATTATTCTTAATTTCACAAGTATTTACCCGTATTATTCAATCTCAATCAAGATACATCGACCAGATTATATTAAGATGAAACTCCCTCTTCAAGGTTTTTCACTTACTTTGTTTTGGTTTGGACCAGGTTTGATTAAATTGCTATGGTAATTGCATTTTATTGATATATCTATTTTTGCCTCATCTCCAGGAAAACCATTTGGTTTATCTTTGTTTATTTAACAAGTATTTATCCTTATCATTCAATCTCAATCAAGACACATTAAACAGATTATATAAAGATAAATCTCACTCTTTAAGGTTTTTAACATACTTTTTTTTGGTTTGGGCCAGGTTTGATTAAATTGCTATGGTAACTGTATTTTATTGATTCATCCATTTTTGCCTCATCTCCAGGACAACCATTTGGTTTATCTTTGTTTATTTAACAAGTACTTACCCTTATCATTCAATCTCAATCAAGATACATCAACCAGATTATATAAAGATGAAACTCACTCTTCAAGGTTTTTAACATACTTTTTTTTGGTTTGGGCCAGGTTTGATTAAATTGCTATGGTAACTGTATTTTATTGATTCATCCATTTTTGCCTCATCTCCAGGACAACCATTTGGTTTATCTTGTCACACTTACCACCACAGCTTTCAGGACCTCATTGGTAATTGATGGGAGCACTCTTTCATCGTAGTCCATTCCAAGGTTTGTGTAGATTTTAGGGAGACTGTTACTCATTGGTCGGAACAGAATTCTGAGAGTGATGTTAACATTCTGTAAATCTGAAAGAACACAGGTTTAATGTACATGTCATGAACATTTCATGTATGTTTCCTGATGCAAATGTTATTAAATGCTTCATACAAAATTATGCAAATGTTTTTTCTGTAAATCTGCAAGAACATAGTATAGTTTAATGTACATGTCTGGCATGAATAATCTATGTATGTTTTCTGATGCAAATTTTATTAATTATGCTTCATACAAAATTTTCAGGACAAACTTCAACAAATTTCTTGTAATTCAAATAATACTTTGACAAATCAGGAAAGTATTTTATATTCACTGCATTCGAAGCAATCAATTCTCCGTTCAGATCCTGATGGTAGAATATTAGTCTTGCTGATGCGCATCTGATATGTACATTTAAGTGTTATAATTTCATAACATTAGCTGATAAGAAATGAGCAAATCTTACCACAGTAGAAGTGAAATGGTGTTGAAAAAACATTCAAAATGGAACACAAGCCTTGTCAAATGTAACATTAATTATTAGAATATGGCTAAAAAACTATGCTACAAATCCACACTTTCTTAACTCATTCACCCCTGAAGACATATTTGAGCTCTTCCAATTCAAAGATTGGAATAGTACATTACACAATTTCAGGGGTGAATGAGTTAATAAATGCAGCAATATTTGCATCTTTATGCCTTAAAAATGTGACAAAATAAATTCTTGTTGGACCAAAAGAATTTGGTAACCCAATGGCCATTTGCATTTTCCTTTTAAAACATTTAAATCAGAATAAACCAATCAATAATTTATACAGAAAACATTAGTCATCTGCTATACTTGTGAAGGAAATAAGGTATTTAACGGGAACCATTAAATAATCTCTATATATATACTGCAGTGATAAATCTACTTGCAAGTCCCGAGCCCTGTACTCGTAGAATTTTGATGGGACACACAGAATTTCTAAAAATGGTTAAATTTAACATTGTGGTGCTAATTGTTTTTAGCAATACAGTTGAAAAGGACTCATTAAAATAAATTGTAGATGGATCCAGGAATACTGTATTCAATTTTGTGGCTAAACAAAGACAAAAGTAAACCTTTGCTTCCTGTGACCACAGCAATATTCCTTGGTCTTGATCGGATGTCAAATATGATTGGTTTCTGTACCCACGGAATCATGAAATGTGTTCCTTCTCCTACAACTTTATCTTGAACTCCTCTGAACCTGTCAAATATCACAGCTCTGTACCCGCCATCCACTGAAACATAACAACTTTCAATGATAAAGAATTGAAATATTTTAAGGCAATGCAAGACTTGGCATTTTATATCATGAAGCAGCAGAATTGTATTTTGAAAATTAACCATCATCCCGATCACGAAAACAAATGGTGTGATTGAGGATGACACACAATTTTACCCCCAATTTATGAACACGGAAGCATACCCGGCCAGGTTTTAATATTATTACTAAACAGTACCAGTCAGATGTTCAACTCGACTCATACCAACTCATCACTATCCAGCACTCATGAGCCCGTTACAGGAATTTTGAATGCAATAGAAAAATTCACAATTCACTCTCGTGTAATAGTAGTTCCTGTGACATTTGTTTCAATATGTCTATGTAATTATCATTTTTTTAGTGTGCGTGTGTACACATATTACCCTAGTACTAATATATTAATACCCGGCCTCCTCTGCCCCGGCGCAATTATATATAAAAATCACTCGTCGTCAGAAAGTTACGTTATCGCAGCTAATATTACCCCATTAACACCGTGCAATATTTGTTGCGACTTCAATGGATATAACTGCTTGCATGAGTTAAATATCTTTATAAGTATCTTTCAAATGACAAGCAAGTTTATATTGATAATATGTATTATTTCATCAGAAAACTCGCAGAGCCGGCGAATGTATTTACCATTGTAAAGGGCAGTATTCACAACACTCGCTCCGACAGCCAGGCCGACGCCGATGGTTCCTAAAGCGTTAAATAGTTTAGACATTTTAATTTGTTAAATGCTAATAATTGAGTACTTTTGCAAAGCGAATTGTGTTGGCAAATCGTCTATACACTGTAAAAGTTAATAATAAGTTATGATGTAAGATACAGTGCCCGCATGGCTTCCAGGGTCGTGCCGAAGGTGAATAATAGAAAAATCGGTGGACGGTATGGCATAGGTCCGGATTAAAAACAGCCTTATAGATTGATATCCAAAAATATTATGGGACTTCAAACATTTTGTTTTTTATTCAACATAGCAATTTAAGTTAGAAGCAGCCACAAATATCTTGTAGTGGATATACTTTTTTAGAATTTGTTTTTTGAGTTTTCATGGACTAACGTCCTATCCGGATTTCACTGTCCTCTGTTCCCACTGTGTAATTTATTAGTACTCAACCGGAAACAATACAACCGCATGCGCACATGTCTGACGCAAAAACGTGGTCTGCCTGCGTAACAACATCGACATACATTTATCAGCGTATAACCGGCATATTTCACAACAACAAGGAAACCCATACAGGTAAGAGGAGCTCTTTCTGCTCCATTCAAAATTCAGCATAACTTGGTGAAAATATTTTACAATGTGAACTGAAGAAAACGTGACATATTTCACCAATAATGGCAACATTTGTTCGGCGTCAGCTTCATCGGAAAACGAAAGTTGTGTGATTAGGCCTATATTGGTGATCAGTTTAACAGGAGTTTTCTTTGGTAGAACACCTGACATAATATTTAGATAAATAGGTTCCCACACCATAAATCTGTTTAAATGCCAATCGTTGCATGGTGAGTTGAGAGGAAACTCGGGCCACAGGGACATGAGAATAGGCCAACAAATACTGCCTCTAGCTGCGATATCATAGTTGTCTGACGACGAGATTTTTTTTTTATATATTGCGTCGTCAGAGCTACGAAGTGGTCCTATGCCAACTAATGGAGCGAAAATGATAATTTGTTAGTGTAATATTACATAATATGAAATAGGTGATACCTAGAGACGAATGCTTAATGAAATTATACTATATTTTTTAATTAATCGAATAAAATAGTGAAACCACCAACAGCTGCTAAATTCTGCCAGTATAGTCCTTGGTTTACAACTGTTCAACATTTCTGAATTTAGAGAACACCATTTTTGCACGCATTTGGTATCTAAAAGTAAAATGTTTTGGCACTTTGTAAAGATGAAAAATGCTGAAGAGAAAGAAATGTGAGATCTAGCTGACAACAACACATGTATACAAAATACAAAATTTAAACAAAGTAAAACTGTATTTCAAGACGAGTGCAGAAAGCCTCAAAAAATGTTTGAAATAACTTTCTGAAAGTACATTAACATCTTAAAAATTACTGAAACATCTCTGTACCAAAACAATTAAGAATGGAAACATCTGTATGCTCCGGGCCCTTTTTTCGTGTTGTGTATCTCAGTTCTCTTTTCTCTATTATGAGCCATAATTAGTAACTCTCTTCTGTGTTCGTTCTTTTCTATTATCAGTTTACCTTATCAAATTATTAACAACTTTGAGTATGCATGAGTATTTGTGCATCAGTGGCCTGAGACCTGTTCTATGCAATCAATAAGATAAGAAAAGCAACAAACTTGAAAATATTTTGAAAGATTTAAAAGTGAGAAATGGAGACACATAAACAGATTTTGAAATCTCATTAATATAACTTGTTGAACAACATTACTGTCATTGATCATTTATCCATTATGCAGCATTCAATGATATTTCTGAAACATTTTCTGGAAAAATACTATTTACTTTTTTTCAATGACACCCATTCAAGTCGACCCTACATTACAATAGCTAATGTTGACACAAGGTTCACTTCTTTTGCACTTTTTTGTTGTTTTTGTATCTATTAATTTCAAATCAACATTTTAGTTCACTAAATATTTGCTGGGTTTGTGACTTTATACAGTATATATATTTTTTATATTCTAGAATGGCCACCGCTGAAGGTGATTCAGAAATGAATGAAGTGAAACAGACCAATTCAACTACTGAGCAAACAAAAGAAACAAATGATGGGGACAACGTTAATGGGAAGGTGAAGGAGGAGGAAGATGATCAAGTTAAGGAAACAATAGGAACGTACGCTGTGATTCCAGAGGACCCTCCCCTACCCCCTTTGGGGCCCCCAAATAACCTTGAGAAAAAAATCATCAAACAACTTGAGGTGAAAAGAGCTGAAAAATGCATCATTTAATTAGTTTTTAAACTTTAGTTTGACAAAATAAAGACTGATCAAAATTAATTATTATTGGGAAAAAAATTGGAATGGGAAAAAATGCTAGTATTTTGGTAACTTGAATGGATATAAAGGTTTGATTATTAAATACAAATTATTTATGACTATTACTATGGATAAATATCAAAGATTAGATATGTAAGGTTTTAGAATATAAAATTATTTGTTAAAATAAAATTAGTTTCCTACCCTATCAACTCTAAATTTGTTCAACATGTTACAGGACGCACATATCTTTTTTTTGTCTGGCCTAACAGACATTTGTATCAGATTAGAGTGGCTGAGATGATATTTAAAAATCTTAGGAATTGATCAACGATATTGTAGTGTATTCCAAATCATTAGCAAAACATAGACATATAGTATTAAATAGAATGTACTGTAGTATATAAAATTATGCCAAAACATTTGTCCGATTCTCATGAAACCCATAAATGTTACAGATATAACTTAACACATTTTAACCTGTCCTTTGCAGTATTATTTTGGAGACATGAATCTGCCAAGGGATCGATTTCTTCAAGAACAGATTAGAGAGGATTCCGATGGATGTATCCTTTCGTACATACTAGAGACAGGGCCGTCATTTTTATATGCCCCTGTATGATGCAACATATTACAGTATGATGTTGGCTTACATGGTATCAACGATAACTAAGTGGATCATAATTAACTAACTGATTTTTCACCTACAATTCATAAACTTGCTACTCGGGTATTTTGGAAAGGTAGAGTTTGTATATACTGAATTTAAGTCTGGCACCAAACATTATGCAGAGTTTTGGCCTTTATATATATGTGTTTCATTTACAAATTTTGGTCTTTTTTTTATTATGACAAAAATTTGAATCCTTTATTGATCACGTACGAGACAATCTATTTGAGTACTGACACTGACGATAGATTTGAGTGTACTTTTATCTTATGATGTTCAGATTAATCGAGTTCGTCGAATATCATTGATTGGTAAGAGGAATCATCATGAAATTTCAACTGATTACCTTCACTACTTTAACCTTTGACTTGATGTACCTCAACACAAATCTAGGGGTGTCAGATGTTAGATTTGAGTGTAGTTTAGTCTCAATTGATGTACCTCAACACAAATCTAGGGGTGTCAGATGTTAGATTTGAGTGTAGTTTAGTCTCACTTGATGTACCTCAACACAAATCTAGGGGTGTCAGATGTAAGATTAGAGTGTACTTTAGTCTCACTTGATGTACCTTAACACAGATCTAGGGGTGTCAGATGTTGGATAAGAGTGTAGTTTAGTCTCACTTGATGTACCTAACACAAATCTAGGGGTATCAGATGTTAGATTTGAGTGTACTTTAGTCTCACTTGATGTACCTTAACACAGATCTAGGGGTGTCAGATGTTAGATTTGAGTGTACTTTAGTCTCACTTGATGTACCTAACACAAATCTAGGGGTGTCAGATGTTAGATTTGAGTGTACTTTAGTCTCACTTCATGTACCTTAACACAAATCTAGGGGTGTCGCTTGCAATAATGACAAAGTTCAACAGACTGAAACAGCTAACATCCAACCTGAAGATGATCGCAACAGCAATACGGAAGTCCGACTCGGGATTCCTGGAGGTAAGACTAGATATTGAACAGGTCAAATAAAGAATTAAAACGACTCCATTCAAACATTTTTTATTGACATTAAACAGTCAAAGGGATTGGGAATAAGTTCTTTCAGTTTATTAGGCCCCTCCCAGGCCTTAGGCCAGGGGATTATAATAAGTTAAAGGGGCTGGTCGGGGAAAAATGTCATATTTGCTAAAATGGCATACACATGTTTAAAATACCTTCTTATGATATATACCAATTCAAATTTTGGTGAAATTCACTCCCTAAGAGTAAAAATTATAATTATATTAAAGAAATTCTAAATCGTCCCCTGACAGTCTAAAACTCTCAATTGACCCAGATCGGTGATGTACTTTTACCGCACGCGCGTCATCAACCAGGCCAAATGTAAACATCATGACGAAAAAAAAAGATGCATCCAAAAGTCATGACAGGCACGAGGTATCAATACCATTATATATAACAACAACATATAGGTAGGAATACTACACTTGCATCATACATGATCTTTGAAAACAATTATTTACGTACATTATTGCTGCCTTGTCCGCTAATTGAGTCTGACATGGCACATGACGGCGTGCTATTGTTGTTATCTTCACAGCCTCATTTTCGAAACAACCACATGACATATATAAATAGATCTGCGCTAAATTTACACGGGGCTTTGCCGATATTTCAGTGGTCAAAACTAGACATTGCTAGCAGAACTCGACCATCATATTGGTATATATTTGGTATAACTTTTGGAAGGCCAGAGAACGCATTTAGACGCATTTATTTTGTACTTTTTTCCCCGACCAGCCCCTTTAATGTCTGGATATACATTTGTAGTTTGCATCGTTATTGATTGCTCTTATAGATAATTTGATTGATTGGAATACACAGCTTGCACGATGTCGGTGTTTATCATTTATCGTCTGATGACTGAAAATTTAAAAAAAACTTCCCAAATATATCCAGGTTAAAAGACAAAATAGGACAACTGCCTAGAGGATCAGAGATGATAAAAACTTGCAGTCTGTTGTGAAATGAAGACATATAAGCATCACGTGACAAATGTAATACACATGTGCATTAATGTGTAATTTAAATGATACTATTATCTAGGTCACCACTTTTCTTTTTAGATTGAATTGAATTATTTTTAATAATGTATATAACAGGTCAGTAAAGATGGTGTGTACATGAGGAGATCGCCCGATAAACCTCTACCGGAGAACACAGAAGACAGACGTTCTGAAATAGCAAAAAAGACAGTGTATGCTGTAGGTATAAGTTAACACATCTCATCAACAATTTCATTATACCTTTGTTTAGTCTAAATAATGAACCCATTTTGTTGTCCTGGGAAATTGGTCTAGGAAATTTGTCTAATTTTTCGCGTTCAGATTAACAGTTTGACAAAACATGTTAGCTGTAATTGAGCACTTGGGAGCAAATGGGATGTTACTGTTTTGTGAATTTATTCAATTTTCCCATTTTCAATGCAAATTTCTTTCAATTGAACCATGTATCTGCCTGTTAAAAATGAGTTGGATAAAGTCCCATGCCGCTCAGGTTGGGTTTGTGAGTTATTGGTAATTAGCTATAGCTAATGATAATATATGTTGTATTAATCACAATAAGTAGATCTCTAAAATATTTATCCATACTAATAGTCATCATATTGTCAATTCAAAATTGAAGAGTAAATGCCCCTGCGACACTTGTATAAATGCCTTTTTTCTCGTGTTTTATTTATGTTTTGTGTTTGTGGAATATTGGATAAATGCTCAACATGAAATAAGGGGCCTAGAATTCTTTATATCTGTTACATAACCACTGACATTTTGCTTTTCCTTTCCAGAAAGGATTTCCTACTAATATGGCGTTGGATAAAATTATCAGCTTCTTTGAAGAGCACGGTCCTATGGATACTGTTTTCATGAGGCGAGACATAAATAAAAAATTCAAGGTAAGTAAGGCATCGGCTGTTCTGATCAGACTCTGCTATGCACAGCTGGCACACACAGTGTTCCCACTGAAATTTAAATTTGGGAGTATATTTGATACATTTTCAAGATTCTGTACCCCTTGGTACTTAGATACATACAACCATTCTTGAAAACTCGGAGTGCAAGCAGCTGTTTAGGGGTGAAATTCCCTCATTTAAGGGTTTCTGGTAACAATGACATTCTCCTTATATTAGTGATTAATGATAAAAACATCTGTACATGTTCATGTTCATGTGTCATCCTCTTGAATACAATAAACTCACAATAATCCCGTTCAACAGTTTTTCTCACTATATGGAAACATAATGCAGGATATCAATTTTACTTCACAATTGACCGTGGGATTTATCGAAGTATCATACATTGTGTTTGCTCATTAGGATAGAAGACTAACATCACTGCCATAGCAATCTTGCTGACTATTGTTCATTTTGTTTAATAGAAGAGAATCTTTTTGCACCCTTCTTTAAAATATTCCCTCAAAAAATATGTCCTTTTAATATTCACGGGTTAGTTACAAGTAAACCAGATGAGTTTTTGTGTCATCTGGATCAGAGTTGTGTACTTTGTTTGGTTTGTATTTACAGGGTTCTGTGTTTGCTGTATTCCAAAGTCAGAGTGATGCTGACAAATTTCTAGCTGCAGCTGAAATTAAATTTCAAGACACGTTACTTAAACGCATGTCAAAGTAAGTCACATCTTCAACAAGAGGGAGGGCAGTATCCGTATATTGCAATAGTACATTCCTATAGTACTGTCACCCATTGAAAGTACTAATAAATTGCTTTGTCAATTCTTTTTTGTCTAACCATCACAAAGATGTTTTTAGTCACCCAGGGGGGAATCCCAGTTTCAGTCCCAGATTTTGACCTCTGTTGTCTTGTGCTTAAGGGGGTAAACTGTCATATTATAAATTGCTATTGATTGATTTAGATATTTTATGTCTGACCAACGACTACCGTTAATATTTGTGTAAAGTGCACACTTTTCAAAGGAAAAATCAAGTGTCAAGAAAGGGGTGTACACGATACTCAAAAACAACCCAAAACCAGTTCTAGATCGCGACCATTCATCATAAATTTTTCGAGGATTTTCAGAATGCTTGCAGCAATAAACTGCTAAATTTCGTTGAATAACCCCTGATTGCATTGCCAATTTAACAATTACGAAAAGTTGCAAATTATACGATAGAATCGGATAAATAAACTTGAGTAAACTAGGCCCATCTGTTCAGGACGTTGTGTTGTGAATTGATAAATACCACGTTTGGGGAAACATAACGAAGAATTGCATCATGTTTAGCACTCTGGGGTTAAAATGTCATTATTGGGTATGTGTCAAATCTACATAGGTAAAGTGGCGAATTTGGCAAGTTTGTGTACCGCAAAGAGTTAAGGTCACGTGATACTATTAACAGGCAGGAATTTACAAGGTGACATCCATGCGACTTGACCCGATAATGATAAAAGTTTGAGTTTGAAAATTAAATATTTACGGGTTCAAAACAGCCAAATACATTCCGATCTTTTCTTTTCAAAGTAGAATTGCTGAACTCACAATTGTTTGGTGTTCTTCATGTCTCGCGAATTCTGATGTTGGCGGTCCTTGTTGGACTTGTTTGAGTGACCGCCTTTAAGCGGTACACACTCTGCCGATACCTATGACCAATTCAGTCGGATTTGCAGACGATCAGAAAACTGCTTGGAAAAGTATATTTCATTACAAAAAAGTAAAATATTTATGTGTATATAAGATTGAATCTTTTCTGAAACTTATTGTTGTGAAAACAACATCGTTATATTCCAATTACCTGATCTGCCCATGCCAGGGGACCGTATGCGTGTCAGCCCGCAGATCTCCCCGTATTCGAGGTGTCGGTCAAAGCTAACGTTGTATTTGCCACATGTTTTCTTATTAATTCCATGTGTTGGCATGGCTAGCTGAACAGCGTGTATGTATTTACACCTGGTCATTGTTTACCATTTTGATTGACAGGTCGAAATATATCAGTTGTAGCTTGGTCAATGATTTATCGGAAAATGATCATACAGAATTATGGGGTGACTTTCATGTCATTCTGACATATTTATTATGAAATATTGAAATATATTGCAATCTGAAAATTTTTTGCAGTATATCCATCCCCCGCTTAATGTATTATTTTAATTAAGTTATTCATCCTGTTATTCTATTTTCTAATTACTGTAAATTAAATGATATATTAAGGGATGTTGTGAGTGTAATGATGTCCTCCCGTCATATTTCTAGTTCTTTTTCTTCTGCAGGCAGCTCTACTTCAGTCAGAAGCAGGAAGAAAAGAAGAAAATAAAACAGGAACAAAACCTGAGAAAAAAAGAGTAAGAAGAAACTGTTCGGATACACCTCGTGAATAATCTATAATTTCAATGATTTCTTGAATGACAAGTGTCGTCGTCATGGTTTTACACAGTTCAATAGCTTATCAAGTCAGTCATGGACATTTTCAAAATGTTATTTTCAAGAAATATTCAAATAATTGGAAATAATTTAGTTGTCTACAAATTATTTTATATCCCTAATCCCTACATATACATGTAATTTTAAGCTAAAGGCCACTTTCGCATACCAGTTGAAACGGTTGAACCTGTAAAGAGAATGACATGCTCAGATCTGAACTGAGGCTGACCTCAGGATTATTCAGCACATGTAAATTGAGTCCAAATGAGTCCAGACATACCTGTGCAAAACTAAAATGCTGACTATTGCTAGTTTGAGTTATTTATTGTTTTTCGTGGAATATTTCTGCGCCACCTGTACTGTTTCAACCGGGATACGTGAATGTAACCTTAGTGTTAAGTATTGTACTGTATGGTTGATTTGTGTTTAATTGTCATCAAATAGAAGGTATCGAGAGAAAACACATTTACATTTGTCTATTCACCACATGAACATGCATTATAAAATCATTCTTTGATTATTGATACTTTAACCTCCTTAAGTATTTAATAGATGACGTTATACCAAGTAATTCTTAATTTGCAGAGAATCAACGAAACGTGAAGCAGAAGATAGAGAGGTAAGATGGTATTCTATTGTTAGCTCACCTGGCCCGAAGGGCCAAGTGAGCTTATCCCATGGTGCAGCGTCCGGCGTCCGTCAACTTTTTCCTTTAAAATGCTACTTGTCCTGAATGGCTCAGAGGATTTTGACCAAATTTGGTCAGGAGCATCATTGGCCAAAGGGTTCTCAGTTTTGTATAAACGGAGGGTATAACCCCCCTGGGGGCAGAGGGGCGGGGCCAAATAGGGGGAAAATAGGTAAATCTTTAAAAATCTTCTTCTTCTCAACCAATAGAAGGATTTTGACCAAATTTGTCCTAGAGCATCTTTGGACAAAGGAGACTCAAGTTTGTATAAACGGAGGGTGTGGCCTCTTTGGGGGCAGAGGGGCGGGGCCAAATAGGGGAAGTAGAGGATTTTTTCTCTCCTACTATACAAGTGAAGGGATTTAAACCAAATGCAGTCTGAAGCTTGGTCAGGAGCATCATTGGCCAAAGGGTTCTCAGTTTTGTATAAACGGACGGTATAGCCCCCCCTCGGGGCAGAGGGGCGGGGCTAAATAAGGGGTAAAAAGGTAAATCTTTAAAAACGTTCTTCTTCTCAACCAATTGAAGGATTTTGACCAAATTTGTCCTAGATCATCTTTGGACAAAGGAGACTCAAGTTCGTATAAACGGTTTATTTTCTTTCCCACCAAAACAGATTTATATGTAGTTCTTCTTGCAACTTTGTTTCTTGTACTCCTTTGATAAACCTGAATGGTACTCAGCAGGTTTTAAATTGAAAAATATAATACCAGGTGAGCTATTAAGGCCCCTGGGCCTCTTGTATTACAAATTGTTCTGGAAGTCTGAAGTAAGTGTGAAAAATCAGGATCACTGATGAATTCATGAAGGAAAAAGAGCCACATCAGACCCATATGAATGTGGCTATACGGAGTAATACATCACTGAAACTTAAATCTTCATTAATTTTACAATCCATCGTATTGGAGATGTTGACAGTTCAAGTAACATCTGTAACTTTATAGGACACCTTAACTAGGACATGCATAAAGACATTGCTTCAAAATAAAGACAGAATATTTGCAATAGTTTAGAGCTCTTTACCTAAGTCAAAGGCATATGTTAGTCATATTGTACCTTTCACTGGCGGTAGAATATCAAGTTCTCCACAACACTCTTCCGTGTTTAATTGCTTGTCTATTGTAGCATGTGATTCAGTTGATTGTTTGTGTACTGTAGAAACTGAAAGATTCTATCACAAAAGGAACAGTTCTTCATGTTAGCGGAATCAAGGGAGAAGAAACAGAAAGAGAAGATCTCAAAAACTACTTCTCAGATTTTGGAACAATTGCCTGGGTCGACTTCGACAGAGGAGATAATGAGGTAAATGGAAGGAAATGACCTTACATCTTATAATATAAACTTCAGTTACTGGCCCCACTTGTACAAAACATCTCAACTCTTGAGATTGCCTCAAGTCTAAGATTTCCCATAGACAGTACATTGCTTGAGATTTTCCTCAACTTTGAAATGTTTTATACAGGTGCTCCCTAGACTGCCATGTTATGCAATGAGTACATTGGGATATTTTTGCGTATTACCTCATGCTATGTCACCATTTGTGATGTAAGAATTAAAACATGACGTCGTGGTATTGTGCCACCACCTAGAAGACAAAAGATATGACAGGGATTAATCTAGATCTATTTCATTACTAACGGAATTGGAAATAAGTTTTCTGAAGTATCGTCCTTGTGACAGTAAAATACAAATGTTTATGTCCACCTTAAATGACACTTTTGCTGGTTGTAATCTCTTGCTAAACCTACATATGAACAGGTTGTTGTATGAATGATAATTGATAAATGTTTATTGCCAAATTTTAAGGTGAAAGGAGACCATGTTTAATCTGTTATTCCTTGTATTTTAGGCCTGGGTAAGATTTGAAGGAGACAACAAGGCTGTGGAGGGTCTACAGGCAGCTTTGGATGCTAACGAGAACAAGATCATGATAAAGGAGGACGAGGTCACTTGTGATGTACTCGAAGGTAAGCATGTGATCAAGCATCCTCGATACTCCAGGGGTTTAGCCCGAGTTTCCTCTGGCCCTTACACCAGACTTAGACATTTGGACAGATAGATGTCTCAGATGAGCCTGAGCCTGAGTTTCCTCTGGCCCTAACACCAGACTTAGACATTTGGACAGATAGATGTCTCAGGTGAGTCTGAGCCTGAGTTTCCTCTGGCCCTAACACCAGACTTAGACATTTGGACAGATAGATGTCTCAGGTGAGCCTGAGCCGGAGTTTCCTCTGGCCCTAACACCAGACTTAGACATTTGGACAGATAGATGTCTCAGGTGAGCCTGAGCCTGAGTTTCCTCTGGCCCTAACACCAGACTTAGACATTTGGACAGATAGATGTCTCAGGTGAGCCTGAGCCTGAGTTTCCTCTGGCCCTAACACCAGACTTAGACATTTGGACAGATAGATGTCTCAGGTGAGCCTGAGCCTGAGTTTCCTCTGGCCCTAACACCAGACTTAGACATTTGGACAGATAGATGTCTCAGGTGAGCCTGAGCCTGAGTTTCCTCTGGCCCTAACACCAGACTTAAACATTTGGACAGATAGATTGGTGTGGGTCAAGAGCGCACTGCTACATGAAAATGTGGAATTCTCCGACACCGTTTGATAGTTTTTTAGGAAATTGCAGTTGGAATTAATACTGCTTTTAAAACAAGTAGTTACTTATTTCATACTCTTGACGAGGCCTATTTCACACATCTTTGCCTCTGTAAAGACCTGGTTTCAGGGGACCAGAAATTGGCTATATATTGAACTTTCATTTTGTAGCTGTAGGAGTGATGTAGTACATGTAGTACTGAAATAAGTAATGAACCGATAAAATATTAATATCATGATTATAGAAATGTGATATTTCTAATGAAGTCTCAGCCAGTAGGGCTGCAGTGACCGAGTGTTTAAATGTGGGGCACTCGCCAGATACTGGCCATAGATCGGTGGTTTTTCTCTGGGAACTCAGGCTTTCCTTCACCAATAAAACCTGGCACTTCCTTAAATGTCCATAGCTGTTAAAAGGAAGTAAAAACAAAAATATTATCTGAGCCAGTCCTAAATAATTTTCAAAGAATTGACATTGTGATTGTAGTAATGTAAGTTTTGAGATGTATGTTTAAATAGGTGATGCTGAGTTGGAACATTGGAGAAAGATATTCAGCGAACTTGCTGAGAGACGGGCACAGAATAGACAGGGGAAAAAGAGAGGAGCAAGCAACTGGCGTGGACCAAAGGTAAACCATACACTTGCTTCAAAATGTCTTGTCCCAGAGTAGTTCTTTCCTACAGTTTAATAGCAGAGAGTGATTTGGTACTGTACACCACCTATTCTGTCTTTGCATATTGCAGAGTTATCTTCTCTTTTGTGCAGGTATTGATTAATACGCCATTGGTTTGAAAATTAAGTCGTTTTCTCAAAAATTGATGACGTTACTCTCACAAACAAATGCATAACAATCAATACCTGCTCACAAGAGAAGATAACTCTGCAATACGCAAAGACGGAATAGCTTCTTGTGGTGATAAATACTTGGGTGATGTATTGTTTCTAGGTCAAACTCGCATGTTTCTGCATTTGAATGGCTTGCAAGTATCGACTTTTTCCTGAAGTACAATCTTTGTCTGTATTTTGGACTCTATCACCTATTTCACTTTGAAATAAAGTATTATATGGAAATTGAACAGAAGTAAGCAAGAATTTACCTAACAAGAGCATAAAAACAAGAATCTTGTAAAAAATGAAGAAGCACTAGAACTGAATTTTATATTGTAATACAATGTATGCACTTAATTATGGTAATGTATAGCATGTATAAGATGCAGAAAGATAATAAAAAAACATTGATTTGTTTTTTGGAAATACACAGTTCAACAAGCTTGCTATGAACATTGAATTATTGCTTTTTTAACAAAATGAGATCATCTCATGAAAGTGAAACTGTATATACCTGTCAGCTCAGACCTAAAGTAGGGAGTAATTAGTTATCACATTCAGAAGCTGATATTTCTAATGAACAATATGACTGACATGTGCCTGCCTTGTCTGCTGTAGGACAAGAGAAGAAAGGAAAGCAAAGATGACGCAGGTGGTGATGCTGAAGGAGGAGATAGTGACGATGATGAATGAAGGGAAGGAAATGGGCGCTATGTAAGTGTTTGGTTCTGTAGAGACTTTGCTACCGTATACCAGCAGATTGTCCCTGCAATTTAACCTTCACCATTTCTGCCTTCCATAATGAAAGTGAATTTTTCCAGACATTAAAATTTGTGGTTTTGAGGAGTTTAATATTTGTAAAGTGTACCCCAAGAATCATTGGATCATTTGGGCCAAAAAATAACCCCAGTCACGCTGAACCCTGATCCCTGTTAACTTGTGTGTATTGGAGGATATTTTATGTGTTCTGTTTTCTAAAAGGCCAGTGCTTTCAATAACGTCTTGCATTGTATAGTGGCAAATCAGCTGTATATCAATGCACAAGCTTGCACTGTAATAACCAACACACACTATATTTTGCACTTTCCTAGAATTCTTAGATTACTAGAGTGAGCAATAATGTAAAGTATTTTACTGTAAGATCTAGCACCATTTGCCAACAGCAGAGCAAGAACCAGTGATGTCACACACAGTCACAAACTGATTTACTGCCCCAATTTATAACTGAAATATTGGAACATGGAATAGCCCCTCAGTTAAACTGTATGCAATGACGTTATTCTATTTTGACATTTCATGTAACTTTTAATGCTGTAATATGGTTTGCATTACATTACAAAAGTTTTAAGAAGATTCGTTTGTTTGTTTGTTATGTTTGACGGCTTTGGTCATTTAGGGCCATGGAGATTTTTTTTTTTTTTTTTAAAACAAACATGCGAGTAGCGAAGATAAAATCAGATAAAAAGGTTAATTTTAAAAGCAATCGCATTGTATGTGTAAATAATTAAAATAAAAAGGGTGTTAAAATAATAAAAGAGATAACGAATAGATGATATGAACTATCTGATATATATAACTTCAAAAAGGGTAAGGTGGGTTAAAAGACATCAGAGTCTATAGAATGGATTGATGTCTTTCAAATAGTTAAATAATGTCTTTAGTCCACGAAACTGAAAAGAGTTTTCATATATGTGACTCGAAAGTAGTTTTAAGAAGATATTTTTAAACAAATGAAAACTATATGCGCAATAAAATTCAATGGCCTATATGCTCTATATTTGTTATTGACAGATATTTAGCTATCTGTCATGTAAACTCAACTGCATTTCTTGAGCTTGTTTCAAATTAAGCATGTTTTTTTTTTTACAGGTATTAATGAAGAAAACAACGGACATTAGTTCCAGGGGCAAGTAATGATTTGAGTAGTCCATGCAGTGGTCATGACTCCAAGTAAGGGGTGCTTAGAAAGGGAAAACTTGAAATGGCAAATAGTGACACAGAGACACAGTTCATAACCCTCTAGTCCAAGTTTTCTGCCGTTGTTGGAGGATATTCACAAAGTTCATTTAGGTCCACAAAACGTTGAAGAGATTCATTTGAAACTACAGGAGAAAATGGTGGATTATAGATTTCAACAGCTTGTGTTCTTTCACAGTTACAAGTTTGAGCAAAACTATTGTTAATTTAATTGTGAATGTTTTATCTTAATCAAGTAAATATACTTTGCAGGATTTCATCTTTAATAATACTTGCTACCATGTTTTATCATATATTTTAAGGTAGGGTTTTATTGTATGCAGAGTGTGATGCTATGCAGTGTTACAACACTTTCACATACATTTACCAGCCTATAGTAACACTTCAAGGAACAATTCAACATCACAAATTGAAATTCAAGGCAAATTATGTGGTATTTTCCAGTTACTTGCTATTTTTTGCCTATATGATAAACAGAATACTAGACTTGCTCCCAGTAACATCAGACTTTTAGGAGAATCAATTAAGCCTGTTTCTTAAAATTCCTCTTATGGGAACTCGTTTGTGAGGTCCTTTATTTCGTTTACTATGAAATATGTGCAATTTTAAATAAGACAAACAGATTTGAATATTTTGTAAATGAAATAATTCTTATATTGAAGTTGGAAATCTTTACTAAATCTTTGTCATTTTTGTATTTTCATCCTTCCAACATGCACAGATTATAAATGCTCATGATGAATGTATAATGTACTGTGAGACCGTACTATTATTTCTTTGTTTTTTTGTGGTTAAATACAAGTAAATTTTGTCATCATTTCTAAGTGTACTCTAAAAATAAAATTATGTACAGCTTCATCAACATTGAACTAATTCGATCGTGAAGACACATTGTAACTCTTCCAATTCAAAGGTTGGAGTAGTTCATTATGAAATTTTGGGGGTGAATGAGTTAAATGACAGGACTATCACTAACAATCATTGATATGAAGGGGTTAATATATTAAGTGGAGGTTTAAATGTCCCAGGAATACAATCATGTGAAAAGTTTAGTTGCATTATGTTCTAAACATATATGATCAAAAAAACAAACTCACTGGAGTGCATTTATATTTGTTGTAAACTGTGGCTTTGAAATTTCAATCTTTCATTAGACACATAAAAATTTAATTAAAATGTCCATACTTATTAGACTGTAGGATGTACATGTGGTACACAATTTTATCATGATATTCGTAGATCTTCATCCATCAATCATATCATGAATTGTTTTACATTCATTGAATATAAAATAAATACTAAACAAAACGTTATCTTGTGTTTCTTTCTCCTGTCTTGATTCGATTGGAAGCCTTCTGTCCAATTTTTGTGTCTCCTGCATAGCAAAAACGACATATAATTACTCCGTGTCAGTATTTCCTTCCACACAAAGGTTTTTTACGTGATGACCCTTAAAGGAATGCTTTGATTTCAAAACTTGCAAAGCCTTCTACAGATACTATAAGTATCAATTACTCATGCAAGATTGATTTTGAGCCAAATTCAATATTGTCACCAGAGGCCATCTTTGATTTATATGACACACTTAATGGTTTGCATACAACAACTTAAAGGAAAGTTCTAATTTGCTTAAAGTTTCCTACAAATACTTAAAATAGTTAAATTGCTAAATTAAATTACACCTACCATAAATTTAGTTACACAAACCAAATTGAAAAGAGTGTTTAATGCATGGAATTGCATCTGACAACGGTGTTCAATCTGAAAGGACATGTATGAAAATTGTTAACATAATCTTGGATTTGGTACAGGAAGAATCCGTTTAATCCTCATAAAACCTTTATTCCTCCAAGAGTTATAAACAAAAAATGCTTTTAAATCTTAATGAAAAATCATAATTTAAGTTTTTAATTTGAAAAAAAGCGTCTTAATTGAATATTTTAATTAATAGTATACAATCTTTATATATTTGCCACAAAGGCATCGCATCCACGTTTGTGGAACTAATGTTTTAAAATGGCACTCTATATAATTGTACAATTCCTATACTGCTTGCTATAGGCAATTGCTGGGTCTTTTATCTCAAGTTTTTAAAAAGAGAGAAAATGGTTCACTTTTGTGTATGTATATTATTCACCTTTCGTTTTCTATAGTTACCTTGTATGCATCTTCGGTGGAACCAGATGCAGACCAGCTCCATCGTCATGTAGGTTTCTTCTGAATCTGAATCTGAATGTGTACTTGACGACACCAATACTGGTATTTAATCAACAGAGGAAAGGGCGTTTAGGTAGTTTTAGTCTTTAGAAAGAGAAGTCCGGACAATTTTCACAGATGGAGCCCAAACAGGATTATTCCAGCTTGTTCCAGTCGTGTATTGTTCTGATAAAGAAGGAGTTTTTATAAGTGTCAGTTTTGCACTTTTGAATTTGGAGCACCGGGTGTTGGTATGCTGTTTTCCACAATATTTTTGGTAGAAAAATCCGTGAATTTAGTTGCAGTGATATTACGCTTGTTCTGGATGAGATGTAAATATGAAGAGGCTGGTTTTGCTGTGCCAACCCCTCAACCACATTGAACAAACATGTCAATCTGGGATGTGTCCTCCGACGTTCCTGGAGAGATTGTAGATCGCACTCTTGGAGCATACGGGTGACACAAACAGGGTCTCTTGACCGGTAGTCGCCTGTAAGAATCGTACTGCCTTCCGCTGGAAACGTTACAGTCGGTCAATGCCCGGTTGTAGGTAAGGGTCCCATATAACCGCTCCATATTCCAGGGTTGATCTTACAAGCGATAGGTATGCTGTCCTTCTGCTTTAAGTTCGACTGTGATGCAAATTCCGTCGAATGAAGCCTAATGCGGAGCTAGCTTTCTTACAAATGTAAGTAATATGGTTGCTCCACTTGAGGTCGTGTGACATTGAAAGGCCTAAATATGGGTTTGATTTTACCTCGTTCAGGACTTGATCGTTTATTTTATAGAAGTATGTAGTTTTCTGTCGAACACTGAGATTATATATAACACTAAGAGGCATTGAACCTCATGCCCAAGTCCTTTGCTCAGATCTCCAGCTGTTGTAGGTCTTTCTGCAGGATTATGTGATCCTGGTATGTCCTGATGACTCTTTCGTACCTTAGTACAGGCCTGATCAGCCGCAAGATGGGCTAAACTACTAACGAGATTTTGTCTTCGGTGTTTTGTTTTATTTCTATTTTTACGATCACATGGACGTTAAACAATTTTCAACACAATACATATTCATGTTTCTCTTGTATTTAATACTAAAGCACTGTTATAAAGACTGTTTTTTTTATCACGACCACTTGTAAATATGTTCTAAGCAGAAAAGCATTGACCTCTGAAAAGCATTGACCTCTGTTGCAAAAATACTGATCAAAACTGGTTCTTACAGATAACAATGTGACATCGGCGTGTTTAGGACAATGTTCATGTCGACAACTTATACCAGAGAAAGAAATGAGTATACACACAAGTGAAAAACAAACTGGTCATCTTTATTCAATAAAATGAGACATAACTACAGAACACTCGCAATGTGACAAATGTTTATATGTGTTAAAAATCTGATTACATAACATGGCACGCGTCTTTTACTACTTTAGCTCTGTATTTACATTATAATGTTCATTTGTGTATGATAACAACCACAAGTCACGTGATGTGGGTTTCATGGCTGCATGTTGTTATACTTTGGTTGTGTGGAGGTAGAATTATCTCGTCTGCCAGCTAGATGGCCGGGCCCGTGCTTAAAAGAAGTAAATACGTATTAACTCAACAGTACATAACTAATATAATAAGTTTTAAAAGTGTAAACATTTACATTCTATGTTAAAAGGAATAGTGAAATTATTGAAAATGTAGCTTAAAAAACTCTTGAATTAGCAGGGACATTATGTTTTCGTATTATATATTAATCAATGTACACGAAATACTTCAACATTCTAGGAACAGAACAACGTTTAAATTGAATATCATGAAATATGCTACGCACCTGTTGCATATCTGCATATGCGTTCATGTAGCCTAGAAAATAAAAAATAAAAGAAAGTCAACAAAGACAACATACAGGGAAATCATTGGAAGTTGATAAATAAAGGAAACAACAGAGAACGAGGAGGCACCGTAATGAAAGTAAGACCAGAAGTGTTCCGAATAAAGTATTTCCGGCGCCAATTCATTGAAATCATATGAGTAAACGTAAACACTGCATTTATTTAAAAACATATTCGAGTCATTTATGAAAAGTATGATTTCAAGGCATTTTTTTTTTTTTTTTTTTTTTTACTGATTATCTACGAATTTTCCAATACAACATTATTCAAAGCAGTGTTTCCTTTAATTGTTAATAACCATGCTAATCGTAGGTAAAATCGATTGATGGGATGGTGCACTATACGATGACACGGCCTAACTGACTTTATCTTTTAGATGAAAGGAAATATAAGTAAAATCGATCTATGTATGATACCCACATTTCTGTATGTTATATATTAGTCCTATTAGAAACAACAAAATACTCGCCAATGCAGAGTTACCTACCTTTGCATAGTTGATCTGACAAATACGGTGATAACGCGTCTAGAGAGGCAATGTCGGGTATAGCAAACATATCGTTAGGTCCTGAGGCAAGCATCTTCATCTCCTCGTTCGAGCTGTCTGGGCCCATCCCCACCGCAAATATCTTAATACCATCAGCTTTGGCTAGAAATGCCTGCGTTTGGTAAATAATAAAACATGATAACGAAAATATTAATTTATACATAAACAACCAATTACCTTAAATATTCATTTTTTTTCATTTTTCTACTCCCTACAGATAGGGTTAGAAGTTCTAGGAATAACCAATATATAAAGTACTGGAACAAATAAATATATTTTTCATATTTGATGAACAAATGAAATAATGAAAATAAAATAAATGTTTAAAAGAGAAAGATACAGTATCCTTACGGTTTTAATACATTTATCGACAATATTTAATAAAATATGTCATTCAGCGAACAAATTCTTTTGTTTTGATTTTTTTTAAATGACAAGAACACGCGTGTATATTCATACGCCGGGCTTGCTTAAGTTATCATTCTGCAATCTTTTGTGAAAACTGTGGTTAGAATTGTAGTCGTACAATTTATTTTCATATTAATAATTTTGTGTGAAGAGATTTTAAATTCCAATGACTTATAGATACATTTGTATATTCATAAAAGTGTATACTTCTATAAACATAAGCCTACGAAACCTTTTCTCTTATATGTCAACATAATCAGAATTGAAGCCACGTTTATGCCATTAGTTTGCATACACGAATTCACAAAATGTCACGAGAGCAGAATCCAACAGAAAGCGAAGAAGTCTTCGAATTTGTCAGATCTAATGAACGTTCTGAGTGTAACTCTTAGCTTATTCAGTTCCGTACTATCAAGTAAAATATTTGCAACTTCAAAGTGCTGGATAAACCCCTTTTACTCCATATGCGAACGTATACTTTCGCTTTATTGCGCACCTTCTATGCTTCCAGCTTTTCCCCTTCTTCTCTCAGAGTCTGTCGTCTGCTTAGTCGATCACGTTTTAGCGTGGACGTCGCCATTACATGGTGAACGTATCCATGCTTTCTTGCTATTATGTAAAATTATCGAATTCTTTACGGCACGTAAGAAAATAAGGTTTAATTTCTTTTTATTTTACATCTTATCACGTTTCACGTCTTGAGTGTGGTATTAACGATAACTTCTGTTGTCGAAGAAAAATAAGAAATACTTATTTTCTCATTCTGATAAGAAAGGTTCAACGGCATGGTAACTTTAAGTTAATTGACAATATGTTATATGTTTACGGCACATGTTCTATTTTCTATGCATTGCTGATGGAGAATACTACATATAGTTGTATATTTTCGCGGGGTTAAAATTTCATGGTTGTGTCATGATTTAAGTTCGCGCAACATTGCCAGGTACAAATATTGTATCCACCAAGGTACTTTTTAGTGCGATATAACAGCGATATTTTATCCCCATTATTTGGTAGTAAACTGGTAAACAGGTCTTTCTCATATCTCTGTATATTTGTGGTATGGGTATTCACTAGTTGCATAAGTTCGCGTTATCTTTGGTAACCACAAATATGGCATAATTAAATTCCCCGCGAAAAGTACCAACTATACAAAAAGAGATAAATATATATACTCGAGAATGATGTTAACACTATTCCATAAATTAAGAATAACTATTCATGTGTTATAATCTATCGGAAGATTTGTGTTCATCTTTGAAAAAAAACCAATCACGAATTAACGCTTAAAAACTAGCAATATTTTGAAAATAGAGCTAAGTGAAAATAATTATTCCACTATACCTGCGTATATGTATGCATTGGCGAGCTAGACAATTTGTCGGTAAACACAACCATGTATTTAGCGGCAGTTGGTCGGCCCTGCTGCTTCAGCATCTCTCGGGCGTCATCGATACCAACAGCTATGTTTGTGTCGCCTTTCGGATACTCCATACTCATGATATGTTCCTTGATTTGCGTCTTTCCCTTGAACGGCTGGAGACCTAGCGTGTCTCCTCCTACCTGGCTTCCGTATGCTAGGATTCCTATATTACTGCTATTAGGGTTGACATCAAAGTTTTCGATCAAACCAGAGACAAAGAATTTCTGTTTTGCGAATCCCAAATCGGTAACACCGTCTGACCCATCCATAACAAACACAAAATCTGCCGCCACTCCATTACAGCCCGTACCTGTTAAATATTAGAAGAGTCTGTCACTCCTATGTGATGTAAAAAGAAAGAAAAAAAATATCGAAATGTGCACCGAACTGTAATTCGAACCCGATAAACCGAAGGCATGCTATGAACAAAGGAAATATTTACATAAAGACCCTTGAAAAATACAAGAAAAAATAAGACCACATTTCCTTTTATCAAAGAATGATTTATTATGGAAATTGCTAATAAATGTTTCTTTTTTATAAACCTTTAAACAGTGCATCATACTCAAGAATAAAACACTAACATTTATACTCTAGTATACATTAAAGGACTACTGACTTACCGTGAGAGACATGGATCACTCCCAGTAATAGAGCCAATACATACAACATATACATTGTAGACGTTATGTCCTCACTGAAGAAAGGAAAAAAATCTTTGTTACATTTCATTACTGCATGTCCCTTATATTTTGCAGGAATGTTAATTTCGCGACATGAAAACACACGCGAATTATAAACCACGCGATAACGTTGCCATCTAATGTAGAGCTATTTAAGAATATTGGCTATAACTTCTATTGGAGAGTTAGGTAAGGATATTGGCTATATCTTCTATAAGAGATTTAGGTAAGGGTAATGGCTATTACTTCTATTGGAGAGTTAGGTGAACTTATTATCTATAACTACTATTAGAGAGTTAGGTTAGGATATTGGCTATTACTTCTATTAGAGAGTTAGGTAAAATTATTGGCTATTACTTCTATTGGAGAGTTAGACAAGGCTTGTGGCTATTACTTCTATTAGAGAGTTAGGTAAGGATAGTGTCTATTTAAAAGAAAACACTTTTTAGAAGTATTGGTTTAATACAGTTTTACATGATATTTAAACTACAGGAAGAACAAAACCGCACAATTTCTTCAATCTAATTGAAAGCATTATACTTGTGCAACGTGTAAACTATCGCTAGACAACATATATAACCATATAAACCATATAAACATGAAAACACACGCGAATTATAAACCACGTGATAACGTTGCCATCTAATGTAGAGCTATTTAAGAATATTGGCTATAACTTCTGTTGGAGAGTTAGGTAAGGATATTGGCTATAACTTCTTTAAGAGATTTAGGTAAGGGCTATTAACTATTTATTAAGTAATCAATAGTTCTCAGTATATTAAATATGTTTACACGACCTGTAGTGAAAATACATAATTACGCATATGTCTGCAGGATCATATAAGCAATATATTATCTGTAGTATATGGTAAATATGATAAATAGATTAAAAGATTCAGTAATAAGTCGTATACATTTATTGTAGCTGTATACAGTTACACCAAGCAAATACATAAAAGTTTTGAAATATATTACATGGTTAAACAGCGATCTTAATAATGTGTCTATGCAGAATGTTGGCAAAATATCAGTGATTACGCTATACATTTCACATTAAACTTTTCTGTATATTCAACATTAAGTCTATATTATTTATATCTTAATATGATATTCAAGTAGTATTAATTTTTATATCAATCAAATAAAATAACATATAGTCCATGGTTAACTTGAAATAATGAAAATTTCTTGCTTATTCGATAGTCCGCAGTATAATGAAGCAATCACAAGGAGACAAAGCAGATATAAATGTTTCTATCAAGACTTCCTATACATTATATATATTAACTGCATTGTACTTACGCTTTTGTCTGTATGATGTGTAGTTAGAATGGAGGAAAGTCTTCAAATGAAACTGGATACAAAAGTACAGCTTATATACTTACCGTGATACACATCTCCCTCGTCCATTAAAACATTAATGTTACTTAAAGACACTGCTGGGTAGGCGGAGATATCATCATTAGCTATTAGTTCACATACCGAAGTAATAGCCGCTAACCGTATCAGCCAAGTCCCGCATGACATTTTATATTAAAACTTCGTTTATCACGTGTGTGTCCATTAACGTCTTACACAACTAATAATCATCGTCGTGGTTTTTTTTGTTTGTTTTTTTTTGTTTTTACGGAGGACGGTTGTGAAGAATTTCTACAATATGTCAAGTGTATATCATCGAAAACAGTTTTTAAATAGGAGATCTTACATGAGTGTCATTGTCATATTAAATCAATAGCATTCATAGTTTGAAAACAAATTTCAAACGCAATAATGTGTTATCAGCTGACTCTATATAGGTAAAAAAAAACGACGTACTCCAATCAAAGTATTGTCGTTATGCGCAGTGCAAAGCAGTTCCAGAGTTTTAAAACTAAAGAACATTTTTAAATGCAATGAAAATAATTATGGTTATGACAAAATAAAATAACAGTAAATTTATCATGTGGTAGACTAAATAAAAGTAGTACCGGTAGTGGCGTAGTGATATGTTCCAACGGTTTGACCAATCGCTGCAACTTAAGTTTTTATTTCACGTGTGTAGCTAGATGGGCGCTAATGTATTTGATTCAATTTTATTACTATATTTATGACGTGTCGGTATGACACAGTAAAAAGGGTCAAAATATGTCTTAAATCATCAATACGCACCGCAATGTATTTCAAAGATCTCATCGACTATTTCGAGTTTTGTATGTATTAGTCAAAAGTACATACATATTAAACCTGGTTTAATGTAATTTATGAATGTCCTAGTAATATTTTGTTTTTTATTATGTTTCAATATCATGAATTTTAAAGTACTGTATTAGTTGTATCTATGGTTAATATGAGCGGACGCTGACCATTAGTAGGAGGTGAGAAGGTCAAAAGTCGTATGAATTTGTTGCTATTTTTAGCACCCTATATAAGTATGTGCACTAGCTGACCCTAGGTCACAAGCCTGCTGAAGATGATGGAGGAACAAGGTGTGTACCTTCTTTTTACATCATGATCTAATTTTGAAAAATATCTAAGTGAATTTTATTACCCACCACCTCCCCTTCTTGCCTCCTTCTCAATATGATTATTACTTCTTAAAGGGGCGTTTTCTTACCCCATCTAAGACTTTTAAGTACATTGGACAAAAACATTTGAAAGTCTTCTATCGTTGTACTTGTTTCAATAATAGACATGCCAATATCTTAAGTTTTCATTTTAACAAAATATCGGATACATTTAATTGTTTACAGATTTTCAGAAATGCATTGTTTTCCCATATTGTGCATCTTTCTGGGTCACAAAATTAATGATTTTCATAGCTTTGTGATGAAAGTTGTTCACATTTATTCTTAATATTAGTAGATGTTGCTACTATTTTAATTACTTATGTAGACTTGTGTGGAATATTCAACAATTTATTATGACAAAGATGTGGCAGTCAGTTAGATTGACTTACAGGCAATCCGATATAAAACTGTTTTCATTGGAAGCTAATGTGTTGAAATAGATAAATGATAAATTTAATTGATGTAAATTTACATTTTAATGAAAAAGATACACTATGGCATTAAACAAACAATGGAGTAAATATACAATAACATGATACAATATAACAACAACCTCTCCACGAACAAAATGTATTGTGCACTAAAAACACACACATACATGTACATATACCTTATAAATAATCGAGACCTTCGTCATATAGTTGAAGTACTTGGTCTAAAGTTGTAGCTTGCTATGCGCTTTATATATTAACTTAGTAACATGCTGAACAGTTTTGGTAGAAGTTAGCCTTAAGCGTTGTGTAACAAACAAACAATGATGATGAATGGGTTTTATTCCTTGAAACCTTGTAAGCTAAAGAGAATGTCAAACTACAGAAATTATGCGATCTATTGACACTCAAATAGTGAATACTTTTTCTTTCTTTTTGTTGTACCATTGAAAACACCTCATTGATTATTCGAAATTCTAACTAGAAATGCTCTTCACAAATCTCATTCCTAAGATGATTTAAAAGCATGGCAAATGTATATGGTAATTTAGAATTTTGTGTTAGCCTTTCTGCCCTTACAGTTAAATGATCTATCACACCAAAATTCCCCTTTACTTTGTTCTTGCTTAATGTAACGACACTGATTAAGCTCTTTTTCTCCGTGTTTATGTGTAATTTGAATAATGCCCTATCGCGTCGATGCCTTCTTTTCAATAACTAACACGTTTACAAACAATCAATATCGTTTCTGGTATGTATTTATTTAGTAACACTATACAACTAGCAACACAAATGCTATTGTGTGCACTATGTCTTGTATATTATATATATGTTTACCTGTTACGAAGGTTTTCTCTGACCCAATGAAAGAACCACGAAACAAATATAGGTTAAGCATTAACTACTCCATACATTAATACTCATTGGCGTTTTCTCTGTCAAGGTAAGCTTTCACGTCATATGTCCTTAACTCACATATTTGCATCATGACCCGTCTAGCTAAAGGTTGTTCAGCTATAACAAATCTAAAGAATTCTCACTACAATACAGCTACGTCCATTAGGAATGACATTTAAAGGATTCAGGCACTCGACTCAATCGTATTGATTTGTTTTATAAAAAAGACAAATTTACTTTATTAGACAAGGGGTCATGGTAAATCGGATAGGAGAATTCTTTTTTAGGATATCTAGACATTTTCCTATTTAACGATAAATCATTTTTATCTGTTTTTTTCTGTGATGCCGGTAAATGTAGACTACATTCATATGAACGATAATGCCTATATATGCCTGCTTACATACATTTTATAGACATTACAATATGTTTGCATATTGCTCGTTGAGTTTGTTTATCAGTATTACTTGCAAAGATTCGCATGAGTAATCCATTATAAACAATATATTATTTTAAATTTACACATTTTAATATAAAATTGTTCTTAGATGATTGAAAATGATTTTAATGATATCTTAAAATAAATAATGGTGCTTGATTAATTTGCAACTGAGAAGTAAACTCAGATCCGCTTCCGGAGTTGGTGATATCAGTTCTTAAAATCAACGAACTAGTGGGCCTCCAATCCGACTCGTTTTACTTCGGCTAATTATAATGCAATTGGAACAAATATATTTTATACACGATTTTCCCCCTTTTTAGTGGTGGAAAAATGCGCAATATAGACCGACTGTGCATCGGCAGCAATAACCACTCCAAAACAAAAAGCCAGAAAAATTAAGGCTACGATTCCAAGTCCGCAAGACGAAGCCCGACTATCATCGGCACTGGTCAGACGTCGTTTTGTTCTACTTAGAGCATTCTTGTTGACAGCCAATTTTGACCGAAGATTTGCTACCTTTTTCACCATATCTTCGTCCTGTGCGCTAGAGTTAATGGGAAGAATACACCTACAATGACATAATTTTGATGAGAGAGTATTACTAAACGAGACTGAATAGGAGGTCGTGGTTGAAAGTGCTATCATTGCTGTGGACTGGGATGTAGGTTCTGGCGTTGCTGTAGTTTGTTCAGTTGTTTCTGGTGATGTTGTTGTGGTTGTTAACTCCTTTGTTGTTGTCGTGGTAGCTGGTTCCGGTGTTGTTGTTGTAATGGTAGTTAGTTCCGGTGTTGTTGTCGTGGTAGCTGGTTCCGGTGTTGTTGTTGTTGTGGTAGTTTGTTCCGGTGTTGTTGTTGTAGTAGTAGTTAGTTCCGGTGTTGTTGTTGTTGTGGTAGTTTGTTCCGCTGTTGTGGTAGTTTGTTCCGCTGTTGTTGTCGTGGTAGCTGGTTCCGGTGTTGTTGTTATTGTGGTAGTTTGTTCCGGTGTTGTTGTTGTTGTTGTTGTTGTGGTAGTTTGTTCCGGTGTTGTTGTTGTGGTAGTCAGTTCCGGTGTTGTTGTTGTGGTAGTTGGTTCCGTAGTTGTTGTTGTGGTAGTTTGTTCCGGTGTTGTTGTTGTGGTAGTTTGTTCCGGTGTTGTTGTTGTGGTAGTTGGTTCCGGTGTTGTTGTTGTTGTGGTAGTTGGTTCCGGTGTTGTTGTTGTGGTTGCTAGTTCCGGTGTTGTTGTTGTCGTGGTAGTTTGTTCCGGTGTTGTTGTTGTTGTGGAAGTTTGTTCCGGTGTTGTTGTCGTGGTAGCTGGTTCCAGTGTTGTTGTTGTTGTGGTAGTTTGTTCCGGTGTTGTTGTCGTGGTAGTTTGTTCCGGTGTTGTTGTTGTGGTAGTTTGTTCCGGTGTTGTTGTTGTGGTAGTTTGTTCCGGTTTTGTAGTCGTGCTTGTTAGTTCCAGTGGTGTTGTCTTGGTTGTTAGTTCCGGTGTTGTTGTCGTTGTTGTTAGTTCCGGTGTTGTTGTCGTGGTAGTTGGTTCCGGTGTTGTTTCAGTGTTCCCAAGTGCAGCACACTGAACATCTACCCCGTTGTTCGTATTGACAATGCTGTAATCTGTGTCGTCTACAGCGGCTAAAAAAAAGAAAGCAATACTCGGTACAACTTCCGTTTCACGGATATCTTACTTAATGACCTTGCATTGCTACGTCACTTTATATATTTAGTCATGTAGAGTAACTCAATTAAGCACATTACTAATCTGAACGATGGATTTGATGAATATTTTGCACTATAAAATGTATACCCACGTGATCCTGAATGTTTAAGGGAGATAACTCTTAAACAAACCACAGGTATAACTGATACACTAGTATATTTCCTTCAACATAAGCAGCACCGCCCTTTATGAATACTTTTCAGTTAAATAATGTTGATTTATCGTGAGATTTTACAATAAACAATCTGTACTACACATATGTTATGACAACTAAGTGTATTCACTTATGGATGACTATATATGTGAACACAATATATGAGTGCATTCTGAGGA